TTTTTTTCCTATTTATACCGATGTTTATGGCACACACTAATATGTAATTGCACAATATGAAATATTACCATCTTAATAATTCCAAATATACTTAAATAACTTTAACGGTCGGCCTATAGCTATTCGCTTACTTCGTAATTTAATCGTCTATATATCAATCTAATAAATTGAACATCCAGGTTCGACTCCTGGCGAAACTCTAGTGAACGCGCAACCTCACCAATTAATTTTTTTTCTTTTAAATTACACGTACTTAGCATAAGCTTTTTCGAGTAAAGCTGCCCAAAATTCATTTGGTTCTTTAATATTTTGACAAAAAATTAAACGATTATTTATTGTTGGTAAGTAATCATCAACAACAACATCCACCCATTGTCCAAACTGCCAAAAACGAAAATGAAATATCCCTATATAAAATTTTTTATTAGAATTTGATCTTTCCCTTGTTGAACAAAAGAAAAAGATTTCTACCAGCATAGTATTTTTTATCATAAGTTTGATCAAGTGGACAAACACGTTCGAAAATCGTAGCATTTTGTGTTATCATACTAACAGCAGAAATAAACCAACAATTGCCTACGATTATTTTATGACATTAGAAAAATTATATTTTCAAAAAACAAATCATTAAATTTACCTAATTGACCTTGATCGAGATCGAATCGATTTGCTTCTTTAACAATAAATTCAGGATTTGAACAAATTTCCTAATAATAAATCTATCAAAATTAAGCTTAAAAATGGGTATAAACACTTGCATAAGGTCGTTTCCATATGACATTATCTAGTGTCCGATTAAAACCAGGTGTATAATACAATGATGATTTTATATTTGAAAATTCTGAATCTTTAAAAAGATTATTAATATTATGCTGTTGAATTAAATCAGAATAAATTTGGTTTTTGTATGGATGTAATATTGTCTCAAAAGTGAATTAAATCAAAATCAAATAACTCAAACAATTTTATTACTCAATAATACTTACTTCAGTCATATTAATCAATACAAAATCAATCTTAATAAAAAGAATGAGATGTCAATAACAACTATTCTTATTCAGCGCCTTCTCTTCTTTTTTTATTTGTACATAGAATTCATATATTTTCAAAAATACAAAAGAAAAATATTACTTGATTTGTACTTGAACAAAAAATAATAAAGATGTACAAAATATTGAAATACGAAGAGAAGAAGATTTAGACTTATATTACTGTAGTATACTAAATCGAATTTGCATCTAAGATAGTTTTACGATACGAATCAAAACAAAAAATATATTTGTAATTTAATATCAGTAGTTTCATATATTTATTTAGTTTTGAAAACGATAGTAATGATTGTCAATGTCACATCATAACTAAAAGAAAAACTTCTGACACCATTCGATTCGTTCACATACATTGTTTTACTCTCAGATCAATAACTTTTATTCCTGATTATGAACAATATATTATATAACAGAGACAAAAATTCAGTCTTCTTATTCTCATTTTATTCTTTCTTTTATAACTTTACATTATTTTCTTTTGAGTTCTTATTAAACATTATCATAAAACTAATTCATACAAATATTTATATGTAAATAGTATATAATCTTCTAATTTCGATAACATATAGCATATGTGATCATATAATATTTTCTCTTCCATATCCACTACCTAATATCATTTACATCAATAACATATTCATTAACTACATTGTTACAAATATCTTCAAAATTCTGAATACATTCAAAAACATAAATTATTAAATGTGTATGTTTATCTTTATTATAATAAAACAAAAACTAACATGATTAGATTTTTATGAGTTGGTATTATAATTGGAATAAGGATATGAATGTGAATATATAGAGTTTTCTCGAGCTATTTCTTTTTTAACAAGACGAATGCCAAGAAAGAAAAATAATACAGCGAGGAATATTGATAATCCACCACTACACAGAAGAATAATAGATACTGTAGTACTTGGTTTGTCCCATTGAGCAACTGTTGGATGTCTAGTATCATACCAACATGAATATGATGAACCAACCTAAAAAAAAACATGTTTCATTTATACTTTTCATAATCCCAATGGGATTGTAAATTTAAAAAGCTACAGTTCTTTTTTAAATAAATCTAATTTTTTGATAAATTACAAATATAAGATTATTGTTTTACTTGATGTATCGTCACTATTGGAAAGTATTATTTCAGAAACAACAGAATATAAGAAACTTTTATGATTAATTTGAACCAAATATATTTTATAATTTTTCTTTTTTTCCAAAAAGTAAAACAGTATATACTATTGTATGTATCTTTTTAGTTATGTTCGACTATATTCATACCTTATATTCATTGGCTTTGTTTATGGCATCCCGATATGAACTATATCGTCTATTGAATTCGACTAGTGCAGGTATCGTTTTATTTTCTCCATAATATGCATCCCACACAGGACCATAACAAGTGTACCAAGTATATCGTGATTTGCATCGATAAGTTTTATAAGAACTGGTACGAACTAAACACTCACTATTGGCATAGTTTATTACTTTTGGACGTTCTAGTGAAAAAAAGGTACCACCCACAATAAAGAGCGTGATACTGCCGACGAAGCAGATACCAAAAATGAGAGCACAGACAAATACTTTAGGATCTTTGATCTTGCGTCCGGCCATTAGAAACAATCGGTAAGTCTAAAAAGAATAATTAATATTTTGCTAGTCATTTTATCTTTCTTATATACATACAATATGTAAAATAAGTGCGTCATTAAACAACTACATGTTATCAATCTGCGTAGTCAATGACGTCGTAGATGATATGAGTAATCTCGAAAAAAAAAAATATTTGTAAAGAAAAAGAGTTAAGATGTGTCAAAGGTTTTAATACTAAAGCAAACAACCATAATGTAAAAAGGAAGATTTTGTTTATACTTTATTTTACGATATTTTTCGAAATGCTCTACAGTCTAAAAGAATTCTAAATAGTCATAAAATAGAAAATGAAAACTTCTAACATCAGCCGGATTGTTCATTTTTAGATGTTTTTTTTCTCGTTACAACAGAATAGAAATGTGATAATTTCAATAATGGCTTACTCTTCTACATAAAGAGAGTCAATCACTTTTCAAAAAATGTACTGGATATTGTTTCAAAGTCAAGTCGCGTCTATTATTCTTCCTTATATTGAACGTGATGGGCACTCAATTTCTCACTGTAACAAGATTACATATTTTGAAACCGTTCTTGACTGTAAATTATCATTCTCTTCACATCTTAGTTCTGTAGAATCTTTAAGATTCGAAAAAAGGATTTTTATATTCAGACAGATTTCGTCAAATAGGATTTTGAGTAAAGTTATAGCTTATCGGTTGCATAATGCTCATATAAGGCCATATTCTCAGTTGATTCTAAATGTTTATTTAATTTGATTAAGAACAAAACAAGATCATATTGAAGCATGAATTAAATAGACTAATGCCTAGAACTATCCATCACTGGTATGTTGATGCAACAAATGATGAAATCATTAATCTCTCAAAGTATAAATCAATATGTAAGCTGACACAAATGCGTTGGAATAGACTTATTCTACTGTAGCAATTATATCTGCTTTTTCTCGTGTCACTATAACTTCTCTACAATCGAAAACAAGGCGATACGGAAGCTTTTATTGAGTACTATACTGCCATCATCGATCTCTGTCATAACCATAATTTATCTACGACTGATCTTCAAATCATCGATTGGTTAAAAGTTGGTATGAACCTGATGCTCTATGAACGAGTGTAGAATTAAGAATTTATGACATTGCAAGCTCTGCTTCGTCGTGCTCAACTTGATAATACCCGTCTTGATGCTCATGAATGTGAACACACTGTTAACACATATTGCTGTACGAACTTCTTATCTTCAACCTATTTACTATCATATCCTCCATCGCTTTTGTCTACTCTCTATCCTCTTTCATCATACAATATCTGAGCTAGTTCTCGCTTCTCATTTTCTCACTCATACTATCCCTTTCCGGCCGCTACGTAATCAGTGCTAACAAACATGTTATTTATGTTTCCTTTTCTTTTTCGTTTTCTTTTTTATACTTGCAAGAATGTTATTACAGATAACACTCTTTCTACTGTCTTCATCTTTTTTTTATATGATGAAGAAGGGACACTCCTGTTCTATTTTGAGAAAGGATTCATTCACTTTATTATTCATTTTTCCTAGGTGGTATTTTTTTCCTGCAACTGGAAGAATATACATTTCTACTGATACCGTCTGTCGTACATTCATTAATCTTTCAGTTATTATTATCCCTACTTTATAGTTAAAGATTCACTTGTCTATGCAATGATTCAGACTGGCTCTACCCATACTTTAATCACTTATTCTATTCTTAAAGCGTTTTTACATGCTCAAATTCAAAACATCTCTACCAGTATTGAGGTGCTTGGTGACACCTCTACCTCCATATCTGTTCATGAAGTCGTTCACTTGTTTATTCATATTAACGATATTCCAACATATACTTGTGCTTTCGTGATTGATTCTTCGGGGATTGATCTTATTCTTGGTATGGACTTATATAATGCATATGATCTTTTACTACATATACATCAATATGAACTTCTTCTTCGGCATCCTCAATATGCTCAAATTGTGGTTCGATTTCTAGACTTTATTCCCGCTCCTGTCCATCTTGTTCAATCAATCCAACTTATACCTTCTCATAAATACATTGTTTGTCTAGTTTCTACATTGTTATCTGCTTTAAAAGTTTTATATACATCTAATACCATTTTATGTAAGCAAAAGAACTTTTTTAATTTCAAAGCTATTCTGTCTGTACATCATTTTTACTTTTCTGTCCTTATTTCCCTGCAGTCAAGATCACCTTCTTTTCCTGCTATCAATTTTCTGATCCCTCATCCATAATGTTTTCTACTCTTCCAAATTTGATATTGATTCTGTCATTAAAACTTTAGTACACCCAATCCTCGATGAAGATACACGGCGATTTTTCTAACTCTTTTTACATCGACACCATTGAGCAACGGCAAGAACTGCAACACACATGCGATACACTCTTGCTCGATAACATCATTCGACCATCCACATCGCCTTGGTCTTCACCAGTACTTTTGAAAAGGAAACCCGACGGTACCTATCGATTTATTGTAGACTATCATCGTCATAATTCGATCACAACAAAAGATGTATATTCACAACATTTTAGCAAAGAATTAATTTATCGTCTTTCGGGACATAAGTACTTTACCAAGTTAGATCTAAAGAGCGGGTATTTCCAGATCGCTATTGCTACAGCCGATAAAGAAAAGACGGCTTTCATAACACATGATGGTCACTACAAGTTCAATGTCTTAGTTCAAGGATTTACGAACGCTCCTGCTAGTTTTCAACATGTCATAAATGACTTACTTGGTAAAGGCTGTTGAGATTGTGTCTTCATTTTTTCGCAATCTCTCGAAGAACATAAATGTCATACCGATGAAATCTCATCTATTCTTACTACTGTTCATGTCAAAGTTTTTCCACATAAATGTACGATTGCTGCCAGAAAGATTGAATTCCTCGACCATATTGTTACTGGCACCACTATCGAACTAATAACTAATATTCTTTTCACTATTGTCTGATAGCCGATCATCGTTCTTTTACAATTAACTTTACTCGCTTTCATGCATCTCCTTATTCTTTTTCACTTATTCATTCATTTTTTTCTTGCGTGTTTCATCATGTCTCTCTATTATGTTTTGTACTAGTTTGGAGGGACTAGGTGTCATATTTATTGTCCATCATACATCTTTCCCTTCTCTCATATTTGTTTTGTTTTGTTTTCATTTATACTCCCCTCATATTGCTTGCTCCTTTTTACATTTCTGGTCTCTGATACATCTTCCGTCTTTCACATCCCATTCTCACCTTTCCATATTTTCTTTGTTTTGTTTCACCATCCTCACACTTTTTCGTTCCTACCTCTTGTCTCCGGCTTTTTAGACTGAGAGAATATGTATAGTTTGAGTTTGTGTTGCTTGATGATGTGTTTTTCATCTTGTTTTATTTTGTCATCTGGGTGATATATAACAACTCATTACACAGAATCACAAATTGTCTCTGTTTCTTAGTGTACTGTTGTGATCTCCATAAAAAATGCTTTATTCTGATACTCTTTTCATAAAAAGAAAAATGTTCTGTTTTACTTTTATAAATGTGTAATGTATAACATGTGTATTTACAAGTAGCTGTGAAATTTTTTCTACTTTATTATTCTTTTCTTTTCTTCCATAAGTATATCTTTATCATACAGTATAATATGTATGATTTTCTTTTATATCACGTGGACGAAGCTCGTTCATATCAATGAAGCACGAACACAAGCCACACACTCTTTATTTAAATAAGGCGATACTGTAAATAACTAGCGGTTGGCATATAATTGTTCGCTTACTTCGCAGTATATTACCTTATATTTCATATTCTCATTTCATTCTTTATTTTATGGTATTATAATTGAAACAAAGCTAACTAGTAATTAGATTCATTTTTTTTTATTAAATTATCAAAACAAAACAAATCAGGATTCAATATTTATAATTTTACTAGTTTCTTTCTCTAATTTGGTTGATCATCAATTTGAAATGGAATGACTCTATTGAGACGTTATATCTCTATGAGAATTAAAATTTCATATAAAAGACAGAAAACTAAATGCTAGAACAATGAGTAGTGATTTTCCTACAGTATAAGTTAACATAAAATCAAATGATGAACCATCTCGATGAAAAAAGTCGTTATTTAATGAAAATAACTGCTAGAAAGCTTATATTTAACTATAATATGATATTTATAAATTTATGAACATCTGTTAAATCAGTGACGTTGATCGATAATATGCTCAGAAATCAATTCAATTTGTTTCTAAAATTATCTAACCATTATATCAATATTTATTATTTATCAAGTTTTACACAGATAACAAAATATAACAATAAAAGTTTGATTTGTTTTTTTCTGATTATTATATGTGTAACGAAGTTAGAAGCTGATCGATCAGTAGAACGTTAATATGACATATATAAGTGACAGACCTCGTTCGTTCTATTATTTTCTTTTTTGTTTGTAATATAGATATATCATACAGGGGCGCACTGACTTGGAGGCACGTGAGCTGTAACGCCCCCTGCTTTGAAAATGTTTTTGTTGTTTTTGCTCGCCAAAACTTTAAAAGTCAAAAAAAAAATTTTTTTTCGTGATAAGTTTAAACAAAAATTTGTAGTGCACTCACCCCCTGACCTGAATACCTCGATACGTCCCTGGATATCTCTATCCTTCCATATACGATGTTAGTCCGCCGACACATCCACCATTTATTTTATTCATTCAGTTACTAACTACTGTTCATTCAACATCGATTCACACTGTAGATATTCTCAGTCTCATCTTTCAATTTATTGCAATTCTTCTTTTCCCATTCATTTTATTATCATTTGAAATCAAAGCAATACTTGGGTAATAAATTTGTTTTTCATCAGTTTGAATAATGAGAAAAATTTAATAAACAATTTCTTCTGTATAATCTCAAAATATATTTTTAAGTCATAGATTTCTTTCATTCTGTTCTAAACATGTGACCATACACATATTTCTAGTATTATTTTTAAAACTTCACGTTCATCTTACTCTATAAAAATCTACAGAAAACTCATTATTTTTTGTTATCTTGTTGTCATCATAAACATAATTAAGAGTAAATACTCAACTATTTATTTTATCGAATTCTAATAGTTCTACGAATGTATATTAAAAAATGTATGTCATAGTATCTCTGATATAATATCTAGTAAAATATATTATATATCTTAATTATTTGTGTTACTTTGTAGCTTTAAAGATGATGCAACGTGGTAAATGTCGTTCTCTATTATCTCCACGTTTTTTTTTATCATTAATTTTATCAATCACTGCTTCACTTTTATTCATTACTGTCATAGCAAATCAACATCAAAATCCTTTTTTATTTATTGGTGGAACAAGAGATATTGCTGATCGAACCGTTCTATTTGTTCGTACAGCACAGAATTGTCAATCACGCTTAAAATATCTTCTTGAAAGTTGGATACCAAAAGATCTATCAAAACAATCAAATATATATTTAATAACAGATAACATACCAAATGATACAAATGTAACAATATTTAATTTATTTCGAAATGTAGTTGAAACAAATTGTCCTTCAACACATGGTGAATTTGATCTATGTTGTAAAACGGCACATGAGTTTGATGCATATTATAGTTTAACAAAAATAAATTCAAATTTAGAATGGATGTGCCGTTTTGATGATGATCAATATGTTAATGTTGATAATTTATATAAATATTTATCTCAAATGAACTCTTCAAAACCATATTATATTGGTCGAATAAGTTATGGTCACCGTTTAAGTGTTCCTGAGCATAATCGAACATATATGTTTGCGACGTATGGTGCTGGTGTATGTTATTCACATACATTACTTAAACAACTTCGTTCTCATGTTCATGTTAATGTTTTACCAAAAAATTGTGCAAAACTAAAGAGACCCGATGATGTTTATATGGGTTATTTAATTGAACTTATAGTTAATGTATCATTAACACCAGTGAATGACTTATTACATTCACATTTAGATGTACTTGATGGATCATTTCGAAGATATAGTCTAAATGATTTAGCACGTATGATTACATTTGGTTTCTCATCCCAGGTCGATCATTACGAACTTCGTAAACGATTGGATACGACCGTAACCGGAAAAAATACGACCGTATACGACCGTATTTCACCGTTTTTTGCCGTATTACCTGAGGCCGTATTACGATCGTATGTCTCCGTACCGTATACGGACAAGTATGATTGTTTACGGAGAAAAACGGTCGTAAAAGATCGTATTTTCCGTTTACAGCACGGAGACATACGATCGTAATACGGCCTCAGGTAATACGGCAAAATACGGTCGCGCGTGGTCGTATTTCTCCGTATACGACCGTTTACGATCGCGCTTGTTTGACCTGGAATGGGATCGATATACTTTAGATTGGTTACGAATAATTCATCAATTAATTGAACTTACTAAACAAGATCAATATGAAGCAGCAAATCGTTTATGGTTATTTCTAAGAAATTATGAAAAAGAACATCCTCAAAATTTAACAAATAAATATGATCAATCATGTACATCATATGAACGATTACGAAATAAAACATTGTTATTAAACAATGAAACAACAACGCAAAATTCAAACAAATCTACCTAAAAAATTATAAAATAATTTTACATTCATAATATTTAAATGTATTACATCTATATTTATGATAGTCTGATGTTAATTTTAAATGTTCTATTAATAATAATAAAAAAATTCTTTTTTGTTATATACCATGACTATGTTATTTTTAATAGTTTTTCGTAGTCGGTCTTATCTAAGCAAAACCTTAACAATTTTTTTATTCCAATGTTGTTTGATAGAACGTCGTTTACTCTACCAAACCATACTGTTTTCATTCTACTTGCTAAGCGAAAAATAGACGCTTTAAAAACTTTTTGTAAAAATAGATGTCAAAGCGTAACTATCTGCATTTTGCAGATTAATAATACATCATTTAATACACTATATTAGAAATGAAATTATACCAGAAGATTTTCTGAGAAAAACTCTATAATTTATGCAAGATCACTTCTTTTATTTTCATTCTTTTTGGTTTCCAAACGGAGAAATACCAAACAAACGAAACACGAAGTGTATCAATATTATTCTCACATCATTTATTAAACCCGTTTCAAACTAATGATAATAGAATTTCTGATGTAGTTTCAAGAGCTTTTCGTACTGTTCCTCACTAGTACACTTCACTTTTTCTTCTAAAAACATTCTCAGGTGATGACAACGTTAAAATATGACAAAATATCTCATTTTTGCATAGAAAACGATTTGTTTTTCTAAGAAAAAAAATAAAAAAATATGTTCGTTATAGAATAAAATCGATGAAAGTTCTTTTACATAAATTGTAGATTTCTTCATAGAGAACAGAAGTCACGTTTACCTGCTCAGTAGAAGTGATCTAATGATGAAAACGTGAAGTGCGAAATGTATTATACCTCTGCAAAAAAAATTTAAATCATTTTTCTGTAACTTAGCAATTCATTGTAGTAGAATCATAATAAATAAAATCAAAGCAGTATGATTTGGTAGAGTAAAGGACGTTCTATTTAATGGCATCAGAATCAAAAAATTTTGAGGTTTTGCTCAGCTGAGATAGACTATGAAATACTTTTGAAAATAATGTACTCATGGTGCATATTATTTTCTTCTGAGTTACTATAAAAACTTATTATAAAACTAATTCATACAAATATTTATATGTAAATAATATATAATCTTCTCATTTCGATAACATATAGCATATGTGCTCATATAATATATTTTCTCTTCCATATCTACTATCTAATACCATTTACATCAATAACATATTCATTAACTACATTGTTACAAATATCTTCAAAATTCTGAATACATTCAAAAACATAAATTATTAAATGTGCATGTTTATCTTTATTACAATAAAACAAAAAGTAACACAATCAGGTATATTATTGCTGATTTGTTATAATGATTAAAACATTTACATAAAAAGATTATTTAACAATTTATCGTCTATTTTTGTTTATGATTTCATATTAGAATTGGAATAAGGATATGGATGTGTATATGCAGAGTTTTCTCGAGCTATTTCTTTTTTGATAAAACGAATCATAAGATAGAAAAACAATACAGTGAGGAACACTGATAATCCACCACAACACAGAAGAATAATAGATACTGTAGTATTTGGTTTGTCCCATTGAGCAACTGTTGGATGTCTAGTATCATACCAACATGAATATGATGAACCAACCTAAAAAAAAACATGTTTTATTGATACTTTTTATAGTCCCAATGTGAATGTGGATTTATAAAGCTACAGTTCTTTATTAAGGCCCCCCCTCACTCAAAAACTTTTCTCAGGATTGGCCCGTGCGAATCGCATGAAATTTTTAGGATATGTTGAGCCTATACTGGAGAAGCTGCGGTGAAAATTTCAGCCCGATCCGACGACGTCTTGCAGAGATATGGACCAAGCAAGGGTTAAAAGTAGTTGATTTGGCATCCAAGATTTCGGTGTCAAGGAGCGTCCAAAATTAAAAAATTTGTTTTTTGTTTGAAAGAGCATGTCAAGACGCAGTGCATGACGAAGTCCGTTTTTTTAAATACTTACTTTTTTAGCGACAAAAAAGAGTCACAATTTCAATGACTCAAAAACTCTTAAAAAATGGGTGTAATCATATAAATGTCTGCATATAAAATAAAAGCAAAGCTTATTTTAAAAAAAAGGACTTCGTCATGCACTGCGCCTTGACATACTCTTTCAAACAAAAAAAAAAATTTCAAATATTGGACGCTCCTTGGTCACAAAATTTTGGATGCGCGTTCAAAAAAGTGTTAACCGAGAAAAAACGAAAAACATTTTAGGTTTTCTATGAAAAAAGCCTATTTTTCAAGCAAAACATAGTCTAAATCATCAAAAAAATAGGCACACCAAATAAAAACCATAGTGTTTCTGAAAGAGCAAACTTCGGGCTATCTTCTTATGCATTTATCTCCATTTCGACTTTTTTGACGAAAATCGATTTTTTTTGAGTGGGGGGGGGCCTTAAATAAATCTAGTTTTTTTATAAATTAAAAATACAAGATTTTAGTTTTAGCGACAATAGAAAATGAGAAACTGTTAAAAGATTTTTCTCGTTAACGCAAAGTTTTTTATTTTGTTAGTATTATTTTTATGATCAGTCTGAACCAAATATATTTTATAGTTTTTAGTCTTGTCCACAAAGTCAAATAATATATACTATTGTATATATATATTTTAAGTTATGTTCGACTATATTCTTACCTTATATTCATTGGCTTTGTTCATGGCGTCCTGATATGAACGATATCGGCTTTTGGTTTCGACTAGTGCAGGTATCGTTTTATTCTCTCCATAGTATGCATCCCACACAGGACCATAACAAGTGTATGAAGAATATCGTGAACTGCATTTATAGGTTTCATAAGAACTGTTACGAACTAGACACTCACTATTGGCATAGTTTATAACTTTTGGACGCTCTCGTGAGAAAAGGATACTACCAATAACAAATAACATAATAAAGGCAACTAAACAGACGATGAAAAAGATAAGAGAGGCAATTGCTTTGGGATCTTTGATCTTGTGTCTGAGCATGAGAAATAATCTGCAAGTCTAAAAAAACAATATTTTGAGAGTCATTTTATTTTTCTTATATACATACGATATATAAAATAGCTGCGTAATAAAACAACTACATGTTATCAATCTGCATGGTCGATGACGTCATAGATAATATGATTAATCTCAAAAAAGTATATTTGCAGAAAAAAAGAATTAAAGTGGGTCAAAGTTTTTAACACTAAAGCAAACAATCATAAAGTCAGAAAAATCTTTGATATATATTTTATTTTAAGATGTTTTTCACAATGTTCTATCGGTTAAAAGAATTCTAAATAATCATAGAAAAGAGAATTTAATTTCCATTACTATAGCTATAATACTGCTAAATATCATATGTTTGTAACAAATGATAGTATATGACAGTGTTGAATTAGTAATCGATAGAATAACATATTTGAGTAATAAATCACTGTGCAAAATATATTTTCGATTTTGTTTTGTACAAATCTAACAGAATTTTAAATCGTAGAATATTTTTCGTTGAGTTTAACAAATATTTGTCTGCTCTACTACTTTACCGATCACCTCTCATACTTTTATAGAACAAAAAACACAGAGACACGTATTACATTGTATAATTTAAATCTAGATCATGTTGATTAAATTACACATTATGCAGTTAACTTTTCATATATATAGTTTATAACTTAGATAATACTTATAGTATTTGATTGTATGATGTACGCTACTATCTGACAAATGTATATAATATGATTATCGATAATAGAACCTTTATACTTGCATTAGTGTATTACTCTAAACTATATAAGCTCCTGGAGAAATTTTTTTTTTATTAATGGCTAGAGTATTATATTAATATATATTTTAGTTATTTTCTTCTATTGATTTATATAGGAATTAAAAGAAGAAAATGCATTCATGTCGACGTGTCTTTTTTGAAGTATTTCCTTTCTTATAAGATAAGTTGCAAGAATGAAAAAAATACTAGTAAATACAGCTGACAATCCACCGCAATAAAGAAGAATAAAAGCTGTGTGGGTGTTTGACTTGTTTCATTGAGCAATTGATGGATCTCTATCCTCATATCAACATGAATAGGATGAACTAATCTAAATAAAACAATATATTTTCTTATTATTGATAGAATAAATATATTATTCTTCCAATCACCGATTTAAATTATTCACTTTTTTATATTTATTCAAAGGAACTATTATTATACTATTCTTTTTTTTCTAGTCACATCTTTACTATCTCAAAAACAGATTTATTATATTTTTTGATAAAACACCAAGAAAAAATCGTATATTATTCGATAGATGTTATTTGCTCTTTTTTGACTAAGTTTTTTATCTGATATGTTTTATTTTTCATATAAATAATACTTTTTTTCTAAAAGTGTGTTATAGAATAATCATTTTTGATAAATCTTATGAGATAATACGACTGTCATAAACAATTCATCGCCACCGTCACAAGTAAAATGATTAATTATTATTCGCATCTCTGTAAGTTTTGTTTGATAGCTACGATATAAGCCGCGAATGTGGCTTAGAGGATATTGAATGATTAAAAAGAAAAACTTTGTATATTCGGAATAAAAGTGATTTTTTTAGATATGACTTTTTCGAAATTGTCAAAATTATTCGATATTTATCGAGTACGTTTCTTAATGTATTTTTATTGATGTTAAGAATAAATATTCGTCTTACAAAAATAAAATAAAAATCACCGAAAAATAGCACATGAAAGAAATGAATCAAAAGAAAAATATAGATATATAAAATAGAATTAAATATTTTTTGTGTAAAATATAAATCACAATATAATGATCACTGTTAAAATTATATAAAACTTTCTTTCATCTGTATAATAGTTAATTATTCAGTACGCTTTTTGATTGTTGATGTTGTTGAATTCGTAAATTTACTATTATCATTGGTAGAAGATGATTCATGTACAACTTTTGAATCATGTCGATTATCCTTTTTCGTACGTTCTAATATATCCATTAACCTCTCAAGCGACTCATTCATCTTTAATAAAAAAAATTTATCAAAAAAGAATTAAAAAAAAAATATATATATATATTAAGATTTACTTGATCTAATCGATTTTCTATTTTTGAATTATTCTAAATAAATAAAATTTAGATTGAAAATATATATGAAGAAAATTTCATACATGTTCTAAACTTTTATGAGTTTCACTAACAACTGATGCAAATATTGATAATAATTCTTCTTTAAAATGTCCTATTGTTTGTTGTTGTTCAGTAGTTGGTTTAGTAGCATTTGAACTAAAAAATAAAAAGGAATTGAATCAATAAAAGACAAAATTGAATATACTCAAGTGTAGCCAGTGTTCTTCTGGGTTTTTCATCATCCATTGTTGAAATATCTTTATTTCTATGTTTTTCTAATATTGATCGAGCATAACCATATGTTGCAGCATTTTCAAACAAATCCCATTGTTCATTTTGAGAAGATTTTATTGGAATCATTTCTAGATTAATATATGTATATATAAATATATGATGATAAAATGAAATGTGTTTTTTTTTGAATTTACTAAATATAGGTGTAATCTTTTGTAATGTTGATATTTGAGTTTGAGTTCCTGCTCGATTTCGAGAATATTTTGGACACAATGTACGTCGTATAGTTAATAAAAATAACATAAAATGTGAAACAAGAATTAATGGTGGATAAGCAAATGGTAAACGTTCGAAATATTCTCGTACAAATGAATAACGTTGATAACGCCAATAAAATTCCGTATTTTCTTGAACTTTAACAATTGAATCACTAAATAAAAAGATATAGGAAATATTCATACGAACAAAGTAGTACTATCAATAAAAAAATAGCATTCTTTTTCACATTTTAAAAGAGTTTTTATATCGATGTTGAAATTGCATATCATTAAGATTTCAAATTTTTTAATTTTGCTGATAGCAGTACGAACGAATATCATCTCTAGAGTTTATACAATGTAATTATGATTGATGCTCCCATTAATTATTCTGAATTAAAACTCAGCTGCTCTATTTGTTGACAGATTATGTATGTTTTATTATTAGTCAAGTAATATTTATTCCAGAGGCTTCTCCAACATAAAGGTTACTTTAAGAAAGATCTAATTATTTCTTTAATTGAGTGAAAAATATATTGTCTTCAAATATGGCATGACGTCTGTTCTTACTCATATATGAGAAGATTTATTAATATTCGTTAATATTTATTTAATACTTACGCAAAAACAGCAACTAATAAATTGAGTAGGAGAATATTAATAAATAACATATGAAATGCTAATAAAACATGTGTTGCTGTTGCTTCAGCTTTAATTGATGATGAAGTGCTAGGGTCAGTTTGATCTATAAAAATGGAAAGTAAATCGATCAATTCTAAAAACGAATAAGGACAAAGAAACATTTACTTTCGAGAAATTCTTTATCTGATACAGCTCCATATACAAACCAATACGGTTCATATAAAATTTGACTAAAAATTGCCCGACCAGAAAATTCTACACGATTATAAAAAATCAATGATCGAGATACAACTCCATAAGCTGCTATTGCTATAAATATCATATAGACAAAAGCAAATAGATCTCGAAGCTAAAATAAATATAAATCTTATTTATATATTTCTTCTTTTTTTTGTAAAACTAACCATATTTTTCAACATAAATAATTTTGGACCTAAAAATTTCAATGCCATAACAAATTTGAGTGATCGAATATACCATAATTCTAAATCAAGTGCCCAAACAATTCTAAATATATCATAATTATTATTAATTACTTGAAATTTTTCAACAAACCTTGCAGTTGAAAGTAAATTATCATTATAACTTGCATAACGAAAACCAAGACCGAAATAAAAAAGACCATACGGTAGAATATAAAATACATTTGATAAAATTGTTAAAATAATCGATCCTGTTGAACCCCATCGTTCAGTCATATGTGCATCATATTCATAATAAAGCTTTATTAAAATTAATAAAAAATAATTTCGTAAAGAAAAAAAGAATATAGAAATTACTTTTCGAGCTTCTTCAACAGACATACTTGTAACAGTCATAATTACATAAATTTCAGTCCAATGAGGAGTTTCAGGTTTATTTAAACTATCAAGTTGATAAAGCATCATATAACTGAATACAAGTAAAAACCAAATATAACTAATCTAAAAATTTTTATTTATTATTAATAAAACAAAAAAAAATGAAATTTTATTCTTACAAAATGATATGCCATTTTTATCATTGGACATTGATGAAAATATCGAAAACGTGCCCAATAATGTGAACAGTTCCCTTCTAATTTGCGTTCATCAGTATAATAGTCTATACCTTCTTGAGATAGACTAGAAGAAGATATTTCATTGTAAAATTAAATATATTCATAATGAATATTGACTTACTCTTTATTTCTTCCATGCTAAAAAAGAAAATAAGGAAAAGATTATTATTTTATTTAGAAAAAGTCAAGGATTTCTCATCATATACATTTATTGAATATTTTTCTTCTTTTCGATAGGTAATAAGCCAAGGTGCTAGAAAACCAAGACTAATAACTGATGGAATTTGTGATAATTTTGCTGATCGTTGACGATTAGTTAAACCTAATTTATCAAACCATACATGATTTAATGTTTGATCAAAACAAGCTGTTTCAAGTAATTTTCCACTTTCACTTGATATAGCAAGCTAAAGATAGAAGAAAATAATTCTTAATAGTTTTTTTTATTCTTTTTTTTTCTAAAAAATTTTAATATTAAAAAAAATTAAATTAACCTGCATGCATGTAACATTACCAAAAATTGGTAATTGTCGTAAAAGTAATTCACATGCACGTTCATCATTACATTCATAACATTTATCCAAAGAAATTGCCGCATATGTTTCAAATTCTAATGCTTGAAGTTGAAATTTATCTGTCATATCAACTGAATGAGATAATGAAGCATATTTTTTAAATATAGCTGAAGCTATTAAAGCTGCACATATACGAGATCGAACATGAAGAAATAATACTTTAGTTATTTCAGGCATATCCATAAAAACAGACCATAGAAAAAGATCACGGAACATATGATGTTTGGTATATTTACTCTGTGCATGTGTAAGTTGGCCATGAACACGAATAGATGTTAATTCATCGATATCTTCATGTGCTGATACACAACAAGTACACATACGATTACTTAAATCAATTTTAAGACGATTTTTAAAACTATCATCATTAGCTGAATAAACTGAACCAAAAAATGAACCAATAAGTTTATTTATTCTATAATCAAGTTGTTTTATTGATTCAAGTGGTAATGTACCAAATGATATCATCACACGGCTTTTATGTGCCTAAAAAGAAAATTAAAATATATTAATTTAACGGAAAATAAATAAACAAACCACATTCATTGCTTGATAACTTTTGTTATATAAATTTAAAATAACTAATTGATAACTATAAATATCATCTTTTTCAGCTAATGTTAATGGATCAAAACCAGCACTTAAAAAATATTCAATAAATGTTGCACGATTTTTTTCAAGAGATTTTAAGAATAATGCTTTTTGTCGTGCTATATCAGCCTAAAATAAATCACATATTTATGTTAAGATCATGAAATGGATTTCTTCTTGATATTTACCTTCATAAAATCATGTTTTTTCCTTGCCATTTCACCCTGTCGTGCTTGTAATATTGGTAAGACTCCATCGAAATAATTCCATTTCAATGCCAAATCTACGAGTTTATCTTCATCATTTCGACGTTGTTTTACTTGTTCTAATAATTCATTTCCATTTTGTTTCGTATTTTCAACACTTTTTTTCTTATTTTTAGCTATAAGTTAATGAAAACAAATAAATAATAATAATAATAATAATAAAAGAAAACGTTATATATCTAAATATATACCAGTAAATATTGCTTTAAAAATTCTTTCAGACACATTTTTATCACGATCCAAAGAGAAAACATGTAACAGATGACGATGTTCTTCTTTTAATATTTCTTGAATTCGTTTTATTGCTGAACTTTTATCTGAATAAGCAATATTAGGATAAAATCGATCAAGTGCTTGTTCAACTTCGTTTTTTGATGGATCCCTTAAAATAAATATATTTAATATATACAATAAATAAAGTATTATGTATTTTTATTACCAATCTTGAGTTCCATCAGGATTAGATGTTTGTTCGACTAATGTAGCCAATACATCAGCAATGCGACCACTGCCCTATATTTATATAATTTCAACATAGATATTAGAAATATATGGATATCGTATACAAACTTGAATTAAAACAATAGGTCGTTCTCCATGAATATCATTTTCAACAATTTCAAGACTACCTAGGCCTCCTTCGACAATAATTGTTATTGAATAACCTTGATATATACATATATATTAATATTTCAAAACATTATTAAAATACATACATGCATGATGATCTTCTTTATCTTCACATGCCTCGGTAACAAATTGATGACGTTGTGAATCACTAAGATATTCATTTAATCGACCACTATCGAATAGAATACAATGTGTATGATTCAATTCAATTGTTTCTTTATTTTCTTGAGCACTTTCTGGTATTTGTCGTTGACATAGTGGTCGTGGAGATCCCTTTAATATTAAAAAAATATATTCTATCTGAAACAATCTATTATACATACTTGTGATGCACCTTTAAGTTCAAGACGTGTAGTTTCATTAATAGTACCCCACATAGTCATTCCAATACATTTAACTTTATTTGAATATTCTCGTAATAAACGATAATGTGAAATACCTTCACCGACTAATTTTGATACACCATTATTGATACCAGCAGTAAGAATCCATGCATCTAAAATAAATCTCTTAATATAATAAAAATGAAAAATTTTTTGTTTTTTATTTACCAGCCATAGTAGCAGCATCAATAACACCTCTAATAAATTCTTTCTCAAGTCGTTCTGTCATTGTAAAATATTTAGCACCACCATAAACACTTATAATTAAATCTGGTTTTTGTCCACCAGAATCTTCAAGAACTAATTGAAATAAATCTTTGATTGCTACTCGACTATCAACTCGAATAAATTTACATCCAACAGATTGTAATGTTCCATAGACGTTAATAGGAACTTTTGTAGAATGACTTGCATTATCAAGAAATTTCGTTGGAGGTTCCCATGTAGTATTTCCATTTGCAGCCGCTTTAGATTGTAAACATTCACCAATTAAACTATGACGACGAATCATACGATCACAAGGACATAATTTATCTGATTCAGTTGATAAACTTGAATTAATATTGAATATACTACATGTACGTGATTTTAATTTTGTTTCACTATGACGAATAATAAGATCTTCCCATGATGATGATATATCACTCATTCTCATCTATATTTTTATAGGATTGATTATTTATGTACAAACCTAAAAAATAGATTATATCATTCCATATAGAATACTTAACTAGAAGAAAGTTATGTATACTGAAGAAGAAAAAAATGCTAACTTAAAATTTACATATATATTTACAACATTCATCATAGTCATTTTTGCAGATATAAAACAAATTCAAATCTTAAGAAAATATTTATTTTGTTATTAATGCAATAGAATATTTTTATGTGCAAATATTCCAGAAAAGCAACGTGCAGCTGTTGTCATATGGTGACTTATTCCTTGAGAAAAAGTGCGTATTTTTTCAGGAAAAAAGAAAGAAACATGGTGCATAATTATATTTAAAAGTTTTATATCAGTCTTTAACCCCGTTACGGATTGAAGGGGTATATTTACGTCCGGCTTTAAAGGAATAGAACGAAAAATATATAGACCTTTTATCATGTAATTATAATTATAGATACTAGCGCACCAAATGAATACTTCACCACCAACATAGCCTAACCTGACTATTTATATACTTTTTGCACTCAGTCTATTCTTTTAAAGTTGTTTTCTGTAATCATTACACTGACGTTAATACAACATGGATTGAACAATTCATAATGTCAGCGAAAATTAGTATAAAATAATGAATCTGTAAAACTAGTAAAGCAATCTCATGCGATGCATAAAAGAGAATATATCTTTTATTTGTGATATTTATAACAGAAAACTTTCTCTCTATAGATACATATATTCTTTAACGTGGTATTAAAATCATGATTACATCTGCTCAATGGATAGTCATATAAAATATATTGACGAACCAATGAAAATCATTTATAATATTATCATTTGTGTCTTAATATATATATTATATAAATAGGTTTACTATTTTGAAAAGTACGATGTGCATCTGAAACGTATTAATTTTATTTTATTCCTTATAAATAAATAGTTCTCACGTGAAAAATATAATAGATTCATCTTCAGATATAAATATAAAAACATGGTATGTCTGTCTAGAGATAAATCTGTTGTTACAATATTTAAACTTTTAAAAATTAACAAAAAAAAATCTTCTTACACAGCTTTTAATACTTACCAAACGTTTTTCTTCTATTATAACTACGGACTTTACCGTAGAAAAAAAGTTAGTGAGTTATTAGATGGAATTCTTTATACTAAAAAACAGAAAATAATCATTTTAAAACTTATCTAATCTTTTTTTATGTATTGACTTTTTTTTTAATCTTTATTATTCTTATGCTGATTATAAAATTTCCCGTACGGAAATTCCATTTTCCCTATTATAAAATATTATGCAAATACATCAATAAAGATTTTTCAAACACGTTTCAATAAGTTTATATTACAGACAGACTCTTTACATTTGTATAAAATATTTTAATCAATATTCAAATGAAAAATTATCTTCGTACGTCATTGTTACCTTAAGGATATAATATTTTATTATTTACATGATCATGTTTTTGCCCATACTCATCCATAAATCAAAAGCATGTTATTTATTTCCAGTAAACAATTTCCCAATACGCATACATCATTTTTCAATAATAAATCTAAACAAAAAAAAAATACTCATTAATTCCTTACATAATAAATTGGTAGTGTGACGTTAACTTTAATACACAAATAATATTTCTCCAAAGACTTTAGTTTTCTATACTTGAATCATAATATGATTAAAAATTGGCTGAGATGTTTCTCAAGAGATTTTAACGGTAAATAAAACTACGATGAAAAATTTTTCTTCTCAGTTATGCTTACATATCGATAAAAGTTAAATCAAAAGCAAAACATACAAGAGATTAAAAAAACTAGACATACAAAAAATTCTAGTTTTTCTGTACAATGAATATTTCGATATTTTTAATTCTAATCATATTTATTATTAATAATCGTACTAATGCTGAAATTCATGGTAAGTGTATATGAATTAATTAAATTTCTATAAAGATATTATTTTTAAAGAATCTGATGGAAAAATTCTTTTGAATCGTTCAATATCATCGTTGGATTCGGATGGTAACTATCGTTTACCTAATTATGACTTTCTATGTATACAACAATTATCAAAATGTTCTAAACATGGTTGGTCATTAAGATTTCAATTAAAACTTAATCCAATAAATATTTTTGAACGTGAACGTAAATATTTATTATTTAGTGGTGGTGCACATGAACCACATAGTGATGGAATATTAATTTATTTATATCAATCAAAAAATACGTCCTATCTTGATATTGGTTTAAAAGAATTTCATAATGATCAAATTGCATTTTATTGGCAAATTGAAGCGGATTTAGAAATCAATAAATCGATTGATGTAGTAATCACTATTGAAAATCATGCAACATCAATTGGTCAACATCATCAAATGACAATTTTCTTCGATGGATATTTATATAAACAAACCGAAGTAGAAAAATATACAGAATTATATGTGTTTAAATATGAGAAATTACATTCAACATCAATAACTATTTATGGAAATGATTCCGGAGTAGCTCGATTTGATAATATGATATATTATGAAAGAATTCTAACAGATGAAGAAATTGCGAATGGTTTGAATTTATTTATATAATAATAATAAGATTTATTTCACAAAATATTATTTTAGTTTCTCCAAAAACAGTTACATTAGGATGTTTGAATGATAATGATCGTACTCATCAATATATAATACCTGAAAATTATAATAATTGGAAATTATGTCGTAATGAATGTCATAATCGAAGAATGAAGGTATAGAAAATTTAAAAAAAATATTTTTTATTTAATTATTTAATTAGATTGCTTTATATTCTCCAACTGATGGTCAATGTGGGTGTATATTAAGTTCATTTGAATTAGATCTATCATTTCAATATAATAAGAAATGTCAATGTTCGTTAAATACAACATGTTCTACTGGCAAAGAATGGCATGTAATTGTTGTAACATCTGTCATCGATTTGATTGATGCTGAAGTTGGTATGTTATTGTTTGAAGAATACTTGAAAAAAAGAATTTGACTGATCTTTTTTTAAAGGTCTAGAAATTCGTATGGCTGATGAAAGTTTTTTAACTCAGAGTCGAACACGTGTTCAACGAAATGAAGGTGTTGAAATAATTGTTTCAGTTAAAAATGAACGAAATCTTGCTTCATTAACTGTTTATGGTGATATCGAAGGTCATGAACTTACTCCTACAAATTCAAGTTCAAATGAAATTTATATCACTGCTGGTGTTGTAAGTATAATTTTCTTTTTCGTTATTGAATCTACTAGAAAACAAATATATATTTTTTTTCAAAGGTAAATTTATCTTGGAAAAATGAAGGTTCAAAAAAAGTTCAATTTCGTGCTGATTATCGTCGAATGGTACATAAAGAAACAGCTGAATATCGTACTGTTTATGTTGATGTTGTCTATATTAAAACAGATTTACCATTAAAATTTATTTATCTTTCACCTGATAGTCCAAATTATCAAACTTATCAAAATTTTACTGTACAAACATTTGGTAAGAAAAACTATTTTGTTCCTAAAACAAAACTAATAAATATTTTCATATATTTTTTTATTTAGGAAGTGTACCAATAAATTGTACACTTGATTTTGGTGATGGACATCGACAAACAAATGGTACAAGTCGTCATCAATATTATACAGCTTATTTTTCAAGAAATTATACACGTTATGGAGAATATAATGTATCTGTTCGATGTTTCAATGAACTTAGTGTAAACACTACACAAATAACACGTATAGTTCGACGAGAAAAAATGACAAGTAAAATGATTATATATAAAGATTTAATGGAAACATCAACAGCAACACGATTTAATTTAATATCAAAGGAAGATTATTCATTTCGACATATGAACTGTTTGCATTTAAGAAATACAATTACAAATGAAGAAATGAAATTAATTTGGAGAAAAAAAACACTTGAAGTTATACCAAATGAAGTAAGATGAAAATAAAGAATGACGTCATGTATAATATACTAAATCTATAGAGAATAATAATAATAATAGTTATTATTAATTTTGAGAAACACGAACTAAAAGGAGTGTTAAAGTGTTTAAGGGCAGAAATTTGGACCCACTCACCCCTCCCCCGCCCCCTCCTTCCACAGACCTACCGACAAAAAATCACGGACGTAACCGATAGAACATCACAGACATAACCGATCGAACATCAAAGGCGGCGACCGACATGATGTCATAGACCGTCACAGACGTGACCGACACGGAACCACAAACATGATCGACATATATTCTTTGGACCTCGTCACAGACGTGACCAACAAGGTATCATAGTGCTTTATATAGGGTCTAGGTGTGGGTGTAGACATAGGCGAGCCAAGATTACAATATCCACACTCACACAACTATAAAACGCTAATTGAGCGAGTACATCATAAGTAAACTATTTCTTTCCTATATTTCTATACCTTTATGCCACAGAATCAGGCAAAATCCGCTTCATAAAGATACAATTAAACTATCTTCTTGAAGGTAGAAACAACAGTTAGATCGTATTTCACTTTTTAATACCGCCAGGGATTGTGCTAACAGCTTTTTTGTTTGTCAATAATAATATTTTTGAGATTTCATAAAAATAACGAATTTCATTTGTATATAATCGATTTGTCTTTTTTTTAAAGCCATTACCAATTGGTAAATATCTATATCAACTTGAATGTGATTCTATGCCATTACAACCTTATATTCTCAATGTTCAACCATCAGTTCGTTCATTAGAATTAGATGCATCAAAAACAACAATTAAAAGTGGTCAATCAATAGAATTCTCTATTTCACTTGAACCAACATTAGATTTAACAATTATATTTGATTGTGGAATAAATCAAATACCAATAAAAATTATATATATACAAGAAATACATGATTTATCACCTGTTCCTATTGGTAATTGTACTTATTCAACAGCTGGTAATTATCATCCATTAGTTAGTGTTATGAATCATATTAATATAAATAATCAATCAAAATTAATTACTGTTGAACCACCATTATCACCATTTAAAGTTGAAATTGAAAATCGTTTAGATATAAATCAATTAACATCAATAACAATACATACATTAGAACAAATTCCATTTGAAGGTTTATTTGAATTAACCATCGTGGATAAATTTAATGAAAAAAATCAAACAAAAACTGAACATGTACAATTAATAAAATCAAATAATTTTACTGAACATTTATATATGAATATAACAACATATGGAAAACAAATTTTACATATACAAGGAGGAGATTTTCCAACAATACGACAAATAGAAACAACATTTGTTATTGGAACAGAGGTAACAATAAAACCACAAAGTTATATTGTCAATCAAATTGGTTATGTTAATGAAGATTTTATTTGGGTTGATATACAATGGATAAATGGAATTGGTTTTGATATTGAAATTAATTTTGATACTGAAAATAAAGTTTTTCTACGATATGGCCAATTTATGTCAAATTATTTTAATCGTACAGCAAGAAAAAATAATGGAATACATCAAGTACAATGGAAAAGAGTTGCAAAACAACGTTTACAAGTTGGATATAAGTAAGATGATTTTAAATAATATCTTTGACAAAAAAATATTTATCATCATTTGAAATGAGAATAAGAAAACTCGCGAAAAATATGTGCGGCGTTTCTGAGAGCACCGAATATAGATGTAAACTGAGATTGATAAGTTTCAAATGGTGAGTTCTATTTCTGAACCCTCATATGTTCGATTGGCAGTAAACGATATGGCCCTAAATATGCGATAGCTTGTAAACACACTTGAAACTTAATCTAAGGAATTTATAATGATTTGTTTTCTATTGATAATTTAGATTTACAAAAGTTGGCACATATAAAATTAATGTAGTATTTATTCAACCATCATCAATACTTCTTCCAGTTGATTTAAAATGTCCAACAGTAATAATAGTTGAAAATACACTTCGATCAGGCGAAACATGTTTTCACGATAAACAATTTCATTTAGTATCATCAAATTCATTAAATAATGTATCTGCATTATTATCACCTGTTCTTCTCTTACCACATAGTCTACAACATGATTTAGAACCTATATTAACAACAAAATGTTCGATGGAAGATCTTATTTATTCATTTTATGTTCTCTCAATTGATGCATCACATTGGAAATATTCACGTACACAACGATATTCGAATACGAATAATCCAACATTTGCAGATACATTTCTTGAAAATTATTGTTCAAAATTTGGAGTAAATTCAACATTAACAATTGAACCAAAATCACTTTCATATGGTTATTATATATCTGTATTTACAATAAGTCGAAGTTCAAATTTAGCTGATTTTCGACAATTTATTCAACCAATTGAAATTATTCGATCAGATTTCATAACAACATTTGGTGGAAATGAAACAATTACGAATAATATGAATGAACTTCATTTAGATTTTTATTCAACAACAATTGATCCAGATAATAATGAATTTGATCGACGTAAACTTAATTTTACACTTATTTGCTATCCAGAATATCTTCAATCAAAAATCTTTCAACCAAATCTAATTCAATTAGGTTCATCAAGACCAACAGATACAAATTCACAAAATATAAATAATTGGTCAATACAATGGACAAATTTAAATTTAATATTTCGTCGATCAGAAATAAATTTACATGTTTATGAAAATCAATGTTTTTCATCAAATAAAAATCGTGAATTAATTAAATTTAATTCGGATACAAAATCTTTATCAATTAATGAAGAAGAATTATTATTTACTAATGGTACACTTCATTTTCTGTTTATTGTTCGACATTTAATGGATGGTCGACAATTAATAGCACGTTTAGAAGTTGATAAAGAAGATACAATTACTTTTGATACAACTGATTTAAGTGCATTAGAAGATGTTATGGAAAATTTAGATAATTTAGCTTCAGCAAATCCAAAAAAAGCTGTAGAATTTATTAGTGGTTTAGCTGATAAACTTAATGAAATGAGTGATAATTCTGTAAGTTAAATATTTCTAAGTTATAATATATATATATTTCTTTTCGAAAATAGACAACAGGAGATACAAGTGAAGCTGATATAAAAGCAATGAATGACCGAATGGCTGCAGTATGTTTATATCAATAATCTTAAATAAAATTCATATATATATATAATTCTATTTTAGATGCGATCAAAAATGTTATCATCAATGGATACAGTTTTAGAATCAGCAACTGATCCAAATATGGTTGATAAAGCACTTAAAGCTAGTGCAACAGTTACAGCAAACAGTGATCAAATGCCATTAGATAATCAAGTATGATCATTTTCTATTAAGTTTTTAATATTCCCGTTTATTATTATGATCTATAGGAAAAAGGAGCAAGTATTATTGAAAAAGTAGGTACGAAAGTAAAAGAAATGGAAACAGCTGATATGAATACAGTTACTGGTCTTGCAACATGTATGTATTATTCTAATTTTGTTTTGTTTTTTTGTTATTATTTTTAATTTGTAGCATTGATGGATGTTGGTAGTAATGTTCTTCAAGCTGCTTCAAAAACTGTTTCAAAAGATAGAGAAAATGATCCAGGTGCTATGATAGAAGTTAGTAAAATTATTTTAATTATTCATTTGTTATATTAAGAAATATTTATTTATATATAGAATCTTGAATCAAATATGAAAGCAACAGAAGATGAAGAAACAGATACAAAAGTTCTCTATGCTCCAACACAATTTTATGATACATGTGATGAATGTGATACGTTACCTGAAGAACGATGGGAAGTGTTTCGACAGAAATTAGATGAACAAAAAAAAACAATTACTGAAGGACGAGAACGAGTATTCTTGTTTTTTATTTATTTTTATTCTAATAAATATTTAATTTTGTAGGCTTCGAATATTGCTAAACGAAGTTCTGGCGGTTTATTTACTGTTGGTGATGCTTTAGCGAATCGTTCATCATCAAATGAAACAAAAACAATTGAAAGTAAAACAATGGCAATGACATTGACTAAAGCTAATCCAGATGGTATGAATATTATTATTTTATAACTTATAAAAAAAAACTTATTTTTCTTTCAATATAAAAACAAACAGGTAAGTCAAGTTTATCAGCTGGTAATACAAGTATTCGTTTACCTGGTTTATCTGATTTAAATTCTGATAGTGATTCTTCTGATATATTTACTAAAGTACTTGAATCAAAAGAAAATCCATATGCAAGTACACATGGAAATTCTAGTGTACAAGGAAGTGTTGTAACTATAATTTTATCACGACCAGATGGTTCAGAAATGCCAATAAAAAATACAACACAACCCATATCTATTCGTTTATCAAGACCTATTGATAAACAACCAAAATATGAGCAACATCAATTATATGGAACATCATTTCAATATCATAAAGTCAATATACCTGATAAACAAATGACTCTATCGATATATATATCTTCTGATTCATCTCCATTGGATATGTATGGTATTTATGTTTCATATGGTATAAATGAAACATTATTAGAACCACCAACGGAATCAAAATTTGATTTGCTTTTTGTTTTACCAAATACAATAACAACAACAACAGAGATTAATTCTGATGATGAATATGAATTAAAACATACAATTTTAATGCCACCAAATGTTCATCTTGGAAATGGAACTTATATTTTTGGTGTTAAATTACTAAGTATGTTATTCTTTAAACGAAAGAAATATTATATTTTCATATAAAAATTTAGATACAAGTACAACAATGAATTTAACAGAATATAATTCAAGTTATACAATAAATATGTATGTATCAAAATGTCAATATTGGGATGAAAAACGATTTACCTGGAGTTCAGATGGATGTGAAGTAAAAATTTCTTATTAATTCATATATTAATGATTTAATTAAATATAAAATAGGTTGGACCATTGACAACATTAAAATCAACTGAATGTCTTTGTACACATTTAACAACATTTGGAAGTGATTTTTATGTTCCACCAAACACAATTGATTTTAAAACAGTTTTCAAAAAATTTAAAACATTACATGAAAATGCTGCTGTATTTTGTACAGTTATTGCTATTTTTGGTATTTATATTATTGCAGCTATTTGGGCAAGAAGAAAAGATAGGCGAGATTTAATTAAAGTAATTTTATTAAAATATCCGTTATGATTGATAAGATTGTTTGTTTGTGTATTTATTTAGTGGACAGCAGCACCTCTGGTTGATAATCTTCCAATTGATCATTATCATTATTTAATCACAGTTCATACTGGTGTTGGTGCACAATCAGGTACAACATCAAATATAAATTTGGTTATATCTGGTGAATCAGCTGATAGTGGTGTACGAAAATTAACTGATGGAAAAATTCAAGTAAATTTCATTTGTTACAGTAGGAAATAAATAAGAATTTTGTTTATTAAAGGAATTTTCAGCTGGTAGTGTTCGAAATTTTGTTATGAGTGTTGAAGTACCTCTTGGTCCATTACTTTATGTTCGTGTATGGCATGATAATTCGGGTCAAAAAGGCAAAGCTTCTTGGTTTTTAAATATGATCAATGTAATGGATTTACAAACAGGCGAAAGGTAATATATAAAACAATAAATATCCATTTTGTTTTTTGTTTTTTTTATAAGAAATTATTTCTTATGTGATAATTGGCTTGCAGTTGAAAAAGGTGATGGACTTGTTGATCGTGTTATACCATTAGCTTCATCAAAAGAATTGAAAAGTTTTGCACATTTATTTTCTCAATCTGTTAAAAAGAAATTTAGTGATGGTCATTTATGGTTTTCAGTATTTTCACGTCCTATTCGAAGTAATTTTACACGATTACAACGTATATCTTGTTGTATATCATTTCTGTTTTGTACAATGATATCAAATGCAATGTTCTATCGACAAGATACTCAAGGACAAGCAAATAAAGCGGGAGTTCTAATGAAAATTGGACCAATTGAATTTACATTAACACAACTTTGGATTAGTTTTATTAGTACATTAGTTGTTCTACCGGTAAATTTACTTATTGTTACATTATTTCGAAAAGCAAAATATAGTCAAAAATCATTAATAAATCATCAAATAAAAGAAAGAAAACGTCGAAATAAATTAAATGAAAAAGATGAACAATATCAAAAAACAATGAAGTTTGTTATTCGTTTATATATGTATCCTAGATTTTTGAAAATAATTTATTTTATTTAGTTTTTTTGCAAGAAAAAAACATTCAAAATTACATGAGGAAGATAATGAGTGTATTGGTGCATTACCATCTATGGAAGATAAAACGAGAACATTTCCACATTGGGTTGTTTATATAGCTTGGATGTGTAAGATTAATAAATAAGAAAAACGAAGATTTTTATTCTTATATTTTTAGTGGTTATGTTAAGTATTGTAACATGTTCATTTTTCATTATTCTTTATTCGTTGGAATGGGGTGCTAAACGAGCTAATGAATGGTTGATAACAATGATGCTTTCATTTGGTCAATCCGTACTTGTTATTGATCCATTAAAAGTATTTCTTATAACTGCAATAATAAGTTTTCTTATTCGTCGACCATATGATGATGAAACATTAGATTTTAATGATCCATTTACTGGAGCATTACTTTCAAAAAATAATATAGCTGATATACATGAAAATGATATTTATAATGATGCACATATTAAAGGTAAATTTTGAAATCTTTTATATAAATAAGCTCAATGAATCATATAGACAGTCTTCTTAAGTATTTTTCGTAATATCTATAATTTAGATTATCCGATAGAGAGCGAATAAATATGTAAAAAGAGGAAGTCCATATGTGGAAAATAAAACACATCATACAACTGTTAGTACAGTACTGAGAAATTGAATTGAATTTTTATCATACTGTTCGTTATCGAATTTGTAGATAAACTCTTTCTCTTTTTAACTTGTTTGTTAACAACTATTCGAGTAAAATTTTATATACTTCAACAGAATATTTATTCGATGTTTGAGGTTAATATATTTGAATTACATTTAGAAGTCGCACGTCAACGTCGTGTACGTCTATTTAATTTACGACCCATTGATTCAAGTGAAATGGCTGCAGCACGAGAACAACGTTTACGTGAAATAAAAATGGGTGAAGTTATTCGTGAGATTGTTATTTATGTATTTTTCACAATTATTTTATTATTTCTATCATATCAATCACGAGATACAAATTCATATGGTGTATATCGAGATACAAAAAATTTATTTATTACTACAGATTTTCATGAAGTTAATTCTCTTGGTAAATGGTGGGATTATTGTGATAATGTTTTATTAAAAGGACTTTATGCTCAAAAATGGTATAATGAAAAGAATTTAACTTGGAGAGAAAAATTAACAACTGGAAGTCGAGTATCAATGCGTGTTGGTGCACCAAGAATTCGACAATTACGTGTTAAAGAAAATAGTTGTCGTGTTCATCGTCGTGTTAAACATGTTATAAAACATTGTCGTGATGATTATAATTGGTTTGATGATGATACTAAAGATTATACACCAAAATGGGAAAAGATTTTAAATAAAACTGCAATGAATCTTGTAAATGAATCAAATAATGGATCAAAACGATGTAAAACACCTTGGTGTTATCAAGTTAGTTGAATTTATATATAATACATAAATGAGATATATCATTTTGTACTACTAGAGTCTAATAGCTGAATATTTGATCTTATACTTATGTCGTTTATTTTTATTTTTATCTAATTTTAGAGTAGTGTTCGTACTAAAAGTGGTCCATTTACAGGTCTTTATAAGACATATAAAGGTGGTGGCTATGTTGTATCATTAGGTCGTACCCATGAAAAAGGTGCAACTATTATTCGAGAACTTCGTTCACAAAATTGGCTTGATCAATTAACACGTGCCGTATTTATTGATTTTTCATTATATAATGCAAATGTTAATTTATTTATTTCTGTTACACTTTCATTTGAAATGACATCAATGGGTTCAGTTATTCAAGATTATCAAATAAAAATCTTTCGTTTATATGATCATATTGGTGGTTATGGTATGCTTGTTTATATATTCGAATTATTATTTCTTTTCTTTACAATTTATTCAACTATACATGAAATAATATTACTTGTTAAACAAAGACGAGAATATTTTTCTAAATTTTGGAATATTATTTCATTTATTACAGTCGTATTTAGTATAACATCAATTATAATGTATGGAACAAAGAAGACTTTAACACGATTAGCTATTCGTTCATTGAAAAAAAATGAAATGGGTAAGAATGGAAAATATTTTTTCTAGATTATTTTTTTCTTTGTAATTTCAATAGGTGAATTTGTTAATTTTAATGCTATTGCAAGTTTTGATGAAGTCTATTCTTATATTGTTGCATTAATAACATTTTTTACAATGTTAAAATTCTTAAAATTACTTCGATTTAATAAACGTATTCAAATGCTATCGAAATCATTGAGTTATGCTCAACAAGATTTAAGTTCATTTGGATTTGTATTTTTAATATTTATATTAGCATATGCACATATGGGTTTTGCTGTATTTGGTCGTTCACTTATTAATTTTAAAACGTTTACAAGTTCATTAACAACTTGTTTTCGAATGCTTTTGGGTGAAATCAATGCTCCTGATATGTTTGCTGTTAGTCGACTCTATGGTAAAATTTAAATAAAAATAATTCTATAGAAAAAACAAATTTTTTGTTTTGTTTTATTTAGGTATATTTTATTTTCTCTCATTTATTATGCTTGTATTCATCGCTTTATTAAGTATATTTATAACAATGTAAGTAGATAATTAAATAATGATTCATTTGAAAAGTTTTGCTTGTTTTTGGTTTTAGTTTAAATGATTCATTTGCACATATTAAACGAGAATTAGCTGCAAAAGAACATAGAAATGAAATAATGGATTTTATGTGGTCGACATTTCGAAAAGTTGCTGGAATAAATAATCGTAAAATGTCAGGCGGTGAAGATGATTTATTGAAAATGGGACGTATGAATAGAGATCGTAAAGTTCCATTGGCTCAATTTGATCGCGATGTAATTTAAATACAGACTATCATTTTAAAAACTTAATATTATTATATTTTAATTATTAATCAAGTGTATTTTATCATGCTTATTCTGGTTTGAGTTAAAAGAGAAAGTATCAATAAAATTGATTTTCATGAAAGATGTAAAGTTACAGCTAAATAAATTTTATTTCATAAAAACGCAAACTAAGCATATCAAAAGAAATGCACCGAATATAATCTTTTTATCTTGTATTTCAGTAAGTACAATGATGGATAAAAATAATTGCCGTTAGAATTTTCAACGTTCGTTTTATTAGAAGTGCGAGATATTAAAACATTTTTATATTGATATATGATATAGGCACAGTATTCTATAAATACAATAATTACTAAAGGTTTCGCTCTCTCTCTCTCTTCGAATTTTGTAAGAGACAAAACAACTTACAAGTTACACATGGGTTTTATTCCATACTTTGTATTAGAATTTTGTTCAATTTATTAATATCTATAAATTTTATATTTGTAATCACTCATTAAATGACTTCGCTTATATGAGAGTGTGGGTGTGGAGTTTATGAATTATATATGCTTATTTTATATCGCAAAGAAAAAACTGAAATTAAATATTTCTCATTGTTATTAATTTATTTTATTTTAAAAATATAACATGAACATGAGGTGAATTTTGTTTAGGTTGACGACTTTGTTTTCGAATAAGCACACACATATAATACAGACAAATACTACTGAGTAGTACTAATAGCCCAGCAGATGTAAGTAGACTAGTAGCAAGTCGTGTACTTGGTTTGGTTAATTGAGTAACATATGAACGTTTAGTATCATACCAGCAATCATGCCATGTACCAACCTTAAATGTATTTGTTCAATTGTAATTCATATGTATATATGCATTGAAATAAAGAAAATGTTCTTAGTTTTTCGTTTGTACGATTCTATTTCATTCACTACTTCGTAAAAGTGTTAGTGAATATCTCATCATTAAAAAAATTTTGTTCGTATATGTCAGTCTGAATTTTATTCTTAAGAATTGCTTACCGGATATTTATTTGCTTCTTCAAGTGCACCAGAAGAATACATGTGATGCTTTGTTCCGTCTACTACGACAGAATTTGGTATATAAATCTTACGATTTATAGACCATGATGCTATATGACATTTTTCATGAGTTAAATATATCATACATATAGAGATTTTTGAAGATATACCAGTAATTAAACATGATGTATTAGCATAACTCAATGTTTTTGGCTTTTCTTTCATATAAAAGATGCTACCAATAGTGAAAAAAACAGCCGCTGTAATTAAACAAATTAAACCAAGTGATCCAGTTACTATTATTTTGAGATTTTCTATTTTGATGAACTTCATGAGAAATAATCACTGATGCTATTTTAATGCAAATGATACATTGTCTGTCTATTTATCTTTGAATAAATGTTATAAAGCACGTACTTCATTTAATAGTAGATGTAATTATCACGTTTATTAAGTCATAAACAATGTAGTATGCATAATATTAATATTTAATATCCTGTAAAAATAGATTGATAACTGCTTGCTTAGTTCAATTTAATATTAATTTCTTCTGCTCGAAATATTTTAAGAACCAGTTTCTAAAACAAACATATATAACTGTATTTGAATTATAATACCAAACTATACGCATTATTTGTATGTATTTTAATATTCTATTTATGCGTAAGTCATCCGTTTCTATACTAGAAAATATATTCGAATAGTCACAAAACAAAATCAGTATGTAACTAGTATTTCTATATTGTAAGAGATATTTTTCTCTAAACTGTTATCAATTGAAATACAATAATTCCTTGATTAATATTTACTTCCTTGAATATGCATCATGACAACTATTGGAAATCTACAAAACCATATATATATATATTAATCATTTGCGTTGACATTACATGTTTTAGCATGTAAAGTTATTTTTATTAAAAATCATGAAATAACATATGTAATTATATGATATAGACATTGTTGACTTAAAGAATAAATTTGTTTTTGCATGACACAATTTGTGCAATAACAATAAAAACAAACTTTTATTTAATTTTAGGATTTATTTTATAACAAAGTCTAATTTCACAGATATTCATTATGCTTACATACGATGAACGTTGCTGTATCCACATGAAAACGTTTTTGAAGTTCTAGCTATGAAAATTATCTTGACTTTCTTATTATTTATACCATTGACATCTTTATAAAGCAATAGGTTTTTATTGATTATGCATAAATCATATAATTATAACTACTTGTGTTTTGGTAGAAAAAAATATTTCTTATATACATCAAGTGAAATATATTGTATAAGTACATATAAAATGAATGCTTTGTCGTATGGCTGATATTATATAGCAATAGAATGATTATATTTTTGTTTTTTTGTCCTTGGCACAAAGTAGAGAAACGAAATCATTATTTTATTTATCGAAAAGGTAGATACGCCCATTAATTTCATTCATCGAAAAGATAAATACGCCCATTAATTTCATTTAAGTTGAACTTTATCTGGAATGTATTTTTTTTTATCTATCATTAAAATATTAGGTTAAGAATATTATTACAAGTGCATATCGTTTACATGTATTATTATCAAATATATACAAGTAGATAACAATGTCAACAAGTACAACATAAACTAGCTCGTAATAGTACGACACATATATATATATAAAGCGTTATATTTTTTTCTCTTTCATTCTATTTCGTTTTAGTTTATTATATAGTGAAAGTAATAAAAATGAGTGATAAACAACATAATCGTAAAGAAACGTCTAAACCAGAAACAAGTAATAGTGAGTCTCGAAAAGCTGATGATAATGAACGAGATAATGAGGATGATGATAAAGCTGATGATGACGATGATAATAATGATGAACAACCAGTACGAACCAATTTAGTTCATGAATTAAATATTAAGGCTATCGACGACATTTTACATGATCAAGGTCATGATCTAGATGAACAAGCAACAAAAGTTGATAAACGACGACGACAATTTTTAGTTCATGAACTTAAAGAATTATTTGAAAGCAAATTAGGTGCTAAACATGTTGACTATGGACAATCTACAGCATCTATTGTCAAGTAAGAAAAAACTAATAAATAATGATTTATTTTGATATTTTTATAAATTATTTTTTATTTTAGAAATTGTTGTAAAGAATTGCCATCAGATAATGATGAATCATTTTATATTGTTAATCTATCTCATTATGCTCGTCAATATCATCAATGGATGCATTTTCTTGGTCGTATTCATCCGTTCTATGCAGTTAAAAGTAATCCAAGCAGTTTCATTATAGAAGTTCTTGCAGAATTAGGTGGTGGTTTTGATTGTGCTTCAGCAGAAGAACTTGCTTTAGTACAAAAAATATGTGGTGATAAATTTGATTATGCAAAACGTATTATCTTTGCTCATCCATGTAAATCTATTTCTCATATTCGACAATTTCGTGATGCAGGTGTACAAATGACAGTAGTAGATAATGAAGATGAACTTACGAAACTAAAAGAACACTGGCCTGATGCTAAAGTAAGTCAAAAACTATGAAAATTCTATGAATAACGTATGTTTCTCTTTTTTTCATTTAAATAGGTTCTTCTACGTTTAAAAACTGATGATAGACATTCAATGAGTCCTTTTTCAACAAAATTTGGTGCTAATGAACGTGAATGTATTACTTTACTTCGATTAGCTCGTAAATTAAATATTAATCTTGTTGGATGTTCATTTCATGTTGGTAGTCGATGTCTTGATCCTAATCTATATAAGGAATCACTTAAATTAGCCCGACGTATATTTGATATTGCTCAACAAGATGAATTTAAATTTGATTTCAAAATATTAGATATTGGTGGTGGTTTTTCAGGTCATAATTGGGATAAGCCAAGTTTTCCTGAAGTGGCTAAAGTGATTAATCAAACATTAGACAAAATATTTCCGGAATCAGAAGGTATGTTTATCGTATCTATGTTGATTTATGTTAATATTCATTTGATTTTAGGTATAACATTAATGTCAGAACCTGGTCGTTATTTTTCATCAGGAGGTATGACATTAGTCACTCGTATTATTGCTCGACGTATTCACAATCTTGATTATAAATCTAATGAAAAAATAGTTGAACTTAATCGTAAGATGTCTTATGTACAAAGTTCATCTGAAAATGAAAATGAAAAATCTGATTCTGAAAAAGCTCTTATTGAAAGTGCGGATAATATTTATTATATTAATGATGGTATTTATGGAACATTCAATGCTATTATATTTGATCATAAAGTATTTATTGTACATTATATAAAAATAAATGATGATAATGAATCATGTGAACAATTTAAATCGGTTGTATTTGGTCCAACGTGTGATTCAATTGATTGTATTGCTCATTCGATTAATTTACCATTATTAAATATAGGAGATGTACTATGGTTTCCTGATGTTGGCTCTTATACAAGTGCATGTGCATCGAATTTTAATGGATTCCAAACGAAGAAATATGTTTTCATTTGGAAGAATTAGTTTTTTGACTAATATCTACTTAATTGATTGAATATTAGCATATAAATAAAATCAGTAAAAATCCATTCTAATTGATATCTATAGCATGTAAATTATTTGAAAGAGATATATTATTTATTCAACAATCTTAAATATATGAAAGTCATTTGAACAAACCGAGATATGTTTTCATCTTGATGTAGACTTTCTTCCAATATTATTGAGTACTTTGATTTGTACGTGATAGATGAAGTTCAACAACAGAAATTTGTAGAGACCTAAACAATAAAGATGCATGAATCATGGTGCGTTTATCTCTCTCTCTACTTCTTATTTATTTTCAACAAATAGTAATCATAGCTATAGAAATCAACACCATACATCAGAATTTGGCGTTCAACGTGTCTTTAAAACTCGTAATTGGATAAATTATACTCAAATAATTTAATTCTGTTAATGGTCATCTTTTATTATAACTGACCGTACATCCTGAGTGAGACAGCTTACTATTGCACATGTTCAAGTAAGAGTTCAGTGCTACGGCTTTTAACGCTGAAAAGAAGAGATAAACATGTTGAAGTACATACTTTCCGATCAGTTGGCTAGGAAAGTGCTAAAAAAATAGTTTCTCAGAAAATACGAAAAACTACAAAAGTGATTTTTTGCCATAACAAATGCCTAGTTTTGTAGATCGTTAATTAATGCTTTCAATTAATATTTGACATGATTCAGTTCTCTTCTTTTACTTGATTTATTATTAATGATTTGAAGTTAAGAACAACTGAATCGTAAATCATGTCTTTCGCGGAAGTTCCGGAAATGATGAATTAAAATATAATAATGAACGTTAGGACTGTCATTCCGTTTATCGATTTTTAGTTTATTTCCTCTATCTTATTGTTGTCAGTGAACCATGACAAACGAAGGAAAAAAGTCACCATTATTTTCTTTTCAACCCGCAATATACAGACCTGTCTATACAATATGCCTTATTTTTGCTGTACGTGGACGGATATTATTCAGAAGACAAGGAAGAAAAAAATCAACCACTCTCTTTACTTTTGACCTTACCGTATGTAAACTCGACGTGTACAATCTGTTATCATTTTATTGTACGATGAAGTGAATAGTTTGACTATAATAGACCTCAATAATAAAGCTAGTTAACATCTATGTCTTCATCTTCGCCATCATGCATCTTAGTGATTGGAGCTACTGGAAACACTGGTTCATCTGTCGTAAAACATCTCTCGGACCTTATCACCTTATTACCATCCACAATAGATCAGCCTCGTCACATCATCGCACTTACTCGCAATGCAAAAAAGCCGACAGCTATAGAGCTCTCTAAACTGGATCATGTAGAAGTTCAAGAACTGGACTTATCATCAGTTGATAGCTCATGGTTAATCGCCAAAAACGTAGTTCGCGTCTATGTGGCTACACCTAATCAAACCAGTCAATTCGTAGACGAAAGTCAATTCTTGCTCGTTTGTAAAGAAGCGAAAACAATACAATATTTGGTTAAACTATCTACAAATCCGCATTTCATTACTGCCGATCATCCAATTTATTATGGACGAATTCATTGGGCACTCGAGCGTATGTTAGAAGAAAAAGAATTCAAAGAACAAGTCAACTGGACGATATTAAGAGCCAATGTTTTTGCCACTGGACTATTATCACCCTCGATTGAAATGTGGAAGAAGGATAAAGACAAACCTATGGCTCTATTGTTAGATGAACATTCTCCACTAGCACTCGTTCATCCTGCAGATGTGGGAGCTGTTGCGGCCAAACTACTATCTTTAACAGATCCTTCACCACATTTTCACAAAACTTATACTATCTCAGGTCCTGAAGATGTTACCGGCAAAGATATCATTTCATACGTAGAAGAAATCGTGCAGAAGAAGATAGATGTTGAATATAAAAATGAGAAGGTATTCAAAACTGTCATGGAGTCTGACAAATATCCAGAGAATGTATGGAAATCAATGGAAAAAGGTCATAAGAAGAATCTATGGACAGGGCAATCACGACTCGCAAATACGAAAACAAGCGATGAGGTTGTCAGACTAGCAGCACCGCATTCAACAGTCAAACAGACCATTCAACACGCTTTGCAAGGTTATTTATCTTTTTGATCGTAGTGTCGAGCGATTCGCTGGAGCTATGTTTCAGATGATAGACATTAAATTATTGATTGTTTGCGTTTCGTTTAAACTTTTTGATAAATAAATAAACAAGCTTTTTATATCTATTATTTTACGGAAGTTAATAGGAAATGAACTTTAATTTTAGTCTGAAAATAATCGCACATGTTTATGGTGAATAGTTGAAATAACGAGTAATCTCAATCCGTAAGTATAGTTGTTTTTCAATGAGATGTGGTTTAAACTGGAAGCTAACGTTTAGTCATAGAAAAGTATAAAAGGCGAAAAGTAATACTTGATAAACGAGGTCATCAATATCAGAACGAAGAAGTAATTTAAGTAAAAAACGTTTGTCTTTAATACAGTTAACTCGCAGATCACAATTCTAAAAATAGTTCATGAAGAGAGAGAAGATAGATGAAAGAACTTGTTGCATACTCTTGAAGTCAAGTACTCCGATACTTAGCAAAAGATGACTGAAACTTTGTATATTATTTGACTAAGTATTAGTGAGTGATGTGATAATTATTAACAGACATCACGTTGTAGAAAAATAACATCAAATTTCGATCAACTTATAGAAATTGTTATAACAAAAAAATAAATATGGATATTTGGTCAACAATTTCTTATTCCAAATAAAATACATGATATAATAAGTAAAAGTGATTCTGTTTGCATTTCCAATTAGGATTTATGTAACAAAGTTTACAAAAATAACAGTTTGACAGATCTATGTTTTATATATTACACATGCAATAGTCATGTGTAGCTTTATAACAATCAAAGCAGTACTAAAACACTTACGATAATGAATGCGAATTTTTTTCATAAATAGCAAAGATTTCCTATGAGATATAAGGTTATCTCTATTGTATTTTACTAGAGCAGGTGAAACAAACAATAGAAGGAAGATGAAATATTTCTTCCTATTCTTACATTTGGTACTAATCAAATAGCATGGAGAAATATTATACCAATTAACTATTTTATTTAACTTAAAAAAAAAACGAATTTGTTCAGTCAGTAACATTTTCTACTCTTTCAAGTAGTCGAACTTATTCAGTTTGTATAATACAATGAAAGTGCACAGGTCATTGTAATAAAAGAAGCAAAAAAGTACATATTAAAATTAATATGATATATAAAAAACGAAAGCACTGTAGTTACAATTAAAGAAAATGATATAACAAATAATCTTATTATATTCGATGAATATTTTATTACAACAGACATAAATAAACCATTTAATGCTTGTGTAAATACAATTAACCATGTATAAAATGAGAAACCATGAAATAGATTTAAATAAGAATATCCAGTTTGTGAATTTCTTGTTATTATTATACTAATAGCAGGTATCAAATTAAAAATAGTACCATAAGTATAAAGAAAAATATTTTGTAGATGTAGGGATTCTGTAAAATTTTTTTTCAATATCCATTCATTATAAACACCAGCAAGACCACTTATACTACAATAAATAATTATCATTGGTATGCCTAATGGACGTATATACATTTCTCTCATTACTAATGTTGAATCAACAATTGTTTTTGAAATAAATGATGAATTTTTTAATGTACTTAAACTATAAGCAAATCCACCGAAAAAAAGTAATGTTAATGCAAACCATTGTCGTTTGGTTAATTTTTGTTTAATAATTAAACGATAAAGAATAGCTGTTGTAATGATTTTAAAATTTGATAAAATTTGATAAGATGCTGGATCCATATGAAGTTGCATATGTACAGCTAAATTATTATTTAAAAAATAGAGAATAGCTGGTATTGAATATGGTAATGATTTTTTAAAATAGGATAATATTTGAATTTTATTGAAATGAATTTCTTGAAAATAAATAAATGCATTTAATGAAAAGAATAATTTTATAAATTCAATCATAAAATTCATTGTTGCTGATGAAAATGTAATTTGACCATCTTTTTCACATAAATGAACTAATACTGAATATGAACCATAAGCAATTATTTGAAAAAATATCATTCCACGAAAAATTATTGAATGTAAAATATTTTTAGGATTTTGTTGCATTTTTGAGGAATTATTTGCTGAAGATAATAAAGACATAGATGAGGATTTATTTTCATGATTGTTCGATAGAGTAGAGTCAGTCATGACTAAACTAAGACTAGTGTTAGTAATAACCGACATTGTATGTTGCTGAAAAAAGAAAAAAGAAAAGAAGGAGATGCTCGCCGGTTGCAACACATCAACAGAACAGAGCAAACTATGTTCCTGAATGTGCGATTAGTCGGAGAGGAAAAAAATAGCAAAAAGAATTTTTTTCTATTCTCTCTATAAGAAAGTATAAAAGAAGGAGAATATATATATATGAAGCTTTATCATAACTCTATGATAAGCAATACAGAATAGATAAAGTGTAGTAATCAGAAACTAGTTGTATGTGATGGAATAAATATTATTAGTATTGAAAACAAAGTAAATCTGTTACAGTTTCGTTTTTTTTGTAGACAATAAAAATAAATCACAGATTTTCAATCTTATTGTATGATTCTACAATCTTATCTACTAGTGTCAATAAAGTATATATATATATTCATGTTGAAACAGCTTGTCGATACAATCTTTTAAGAATAAAAATGTGTCACTCATATTCTTTGTATAAGGTAATTGATGTCCTAGCAAAGATATATATGTAATGAATATACAATAAATGTTAATAACTTTTTTAAGCAATTTTTTATTAGATTATATCTGAACATATTCCATTCCATGTTCGAGAAAAGGCTGAAAATAGTATCATTGATTTCTGTCGACATCTGGAACTCGGCCAGATAATAGTTTATGTTTGGTCAATACAGTTTACGTAGGAACTAGAAATATGAAATCTAGCCATGAGAAGAAATTTGTATTTAGAAATATTCTTTTATTTTAACGATAGATTTTGTACTTCTCAATACAACTGTTTTATAAGACATACTATCAAAATATGAGAAGGTAAAAGAATAAATTGATTGAGGTGAATATTGTTGAAAAGAAAAGTATTTGAAATGAACATCATTAATCATATTCATTCTAATGATTATTATATGTAGCGATTTGTAATATAGATATGAGAAACGCATAGTTGCTCGTGAGACTAGATGTAGGTAAAAGTGAGGATGTGATTCAGTGTGAGTGCACTGCTTACCTCTATTTACTTAAATACTAATATTAAGATCAAACTTCGCGAGAAAATGCCTCTGCAAACAACTGTTCTAAATCCTTAGATGTACTACATAAAGAAATAATAGTCATTCAACTATAGCGAACACAGAGTGAGTTGTTATTTGATCTCGAAAAAGTTTTTTTAATGTAGTTTAGTTCTTAGTTAATTATACATGCTATACTTACTAATTACAACTTAGAAAGAACGTTACATTCATGCTAGTAACATCATTGAAATTATAAATTGCAGGAACTTTTCAGCAAACTGTATATTGATTGTGATATATCATAATCTTCACTACGTGGTGTATGCATAAATATAAAATGATCATATGTCGTAATCAGTTAAACGGAGATAGTAAATTAAAAAATAATATGGACAATAATATAGAGGCGCGTAAAATCTTGTCATGGAGGTTGAATATAACGAGCAATTAATAGACAACACGAAATATGTTTGTAAAAAAACCTTTGTTATTATTGGATATTATTCTCTACCTACCTAACATATTTGTTTCATGAAGAATATGAGTTTGCGTATAGAACGAAATAAATCAATTTTCTCGTGAAAGATCTCATATGACAAATGAAACAAACATTTCAAGAGTAGTACGTATGTGAACTAATTTGAAAATTTCTTTATTCCTGTTATTCAGAGAAGGAAGTACTTGAAAAAGTTCAACTTAAAATCAATACTCAATAATTTCTGTCAGAACTTAATACGAATATGTTTTATTCTCAGAATTGAAGTTTAGAAGTCACTTTCTATGTTGCACCTACTTGTAAATAATAGAAACAAACTAGAAGAAGAGGAACATAGTTAAGTACATCAAGATATAAAGTTACTTTCAAATTTTAATATGCAAGTTCTTCAGATGTAATAAGATAGATTCTGACAGGGTTGAAAACTAAGATCAAATGTTCTATCAATGAATGATACATGATAAATCTATAATATGCAATAGTTCTTTCATAAATCAAATATTTAACAATACAATCTTTTCCTCTCATGAAATACTGATTTCAGATTTGTATAGAATTCATCATATCTGACATAATACCTGCAGCATATTTCATAAGTGTTGGTTAAAAGGATCTAAATGATTATCTGTCAATGTCCTTTTCTTTAAAGGTAATATTACAAATATAATTTGAATAAAATTATCAACTACGCTAAAATTTTATACTTCATTCGTTTTCATTTTCACATATTTGTGCAAAAAAATTCAGATTAGAAAAAAACAAAATTCAAGTTCATTTTATCTTTATGAAGAGTAAACAGTACGTGTTTTTGTTACTTTAACATTTGGTGGATTAAATCGTTCTCTCATTAAATCTCTTTCAGTTATTTTAGCTACATTCATTGCATGTTGAATTTTTTTTTCTAAATGTCGTACAGCAGCATCTCCTGGATGTTGTTCAATTAGTAATGGACGTCGATCAATACGATGATTCATTTCATCTAATTTTTTAGCATATTCATCTTCACTTCGACGCATTGATTGTCGAATTTTACGAGTCTAATTGAAAAAAAGAAAATAATTCAATAACATAATTTTTTAAATTAATAATTACATTTTCTTCTTTCTTTGCTTTATATATGGCTGATTTATCTTGTGATTTTGCTCGTTCATAAATTCGTTCTCTTAGATGTTTTTCTTTTGCTGATCTTGATCGTTGAAATTTTTCTTCAAATTTATTTCGAAGTTCTTCATCTCGTCGTTTTTTCTTTCCTATTCTTTCTCGTACTTGTTGTATATCAGTTGTTTTTGTTGGTATAGCTTCTGGTTGTTGAAGACTAGCTGATAAACTTATTCCTGATGCAGATCTTGGTGGTAATTGTTTTCCTTTTATTTGAAATGTTTGTAAATAACGTGTCTCTTCATCATTTCGAATATCATCAAGTACACGATCTTTTCTTGATGGAATCATATTTGTATATAATAAAAATGGTTCACATTTTGTGGGTGGTCGTAAACGTTTTGCTCGTTCAGTTTCACGTAAAAATTTCTCATGAAGTTTATCATAATTTGGTATATAATGACCATTTGTTTTCGGTTTAAATGTGTATTCTTCACGACCAGCACGTGCTAAATTTTCTGCACTCATTGAACGATGTGTATGATGTTTAGCATGATGTTCACGTTCTTGCATACTTGATGGAAGACGAGATTGACGAAGTAATTCTTTCGCTCGTATTTGTTTTTTTATTGAACGATAAAGAGAATTTTCTTTCATTCTAAAAACTAAATTAAATTAAAAATAAGTTCAAAATAAAACGATTCAAATCGTACTCTTCAATATCTTTGCTTGTTCGATAATAAAAATCAGGTACTGGTTTTGCTTTAAATTGTGGTTGACGTCGAGGAGTATCGTTACCTGAATATGAATGTCGTCGACAATTTATTTTAGCTTTCTCACGTGATTCAAATCCAAATGGTTTTGATATTGAATTTAAATATTCTTTTGTCATATGACGAACTTGTTCACGACGTACACGTTGCTCGTCTTGTAATTGTTCATATAAAGGCATACGAACATGAGCTGGAACACGATTAGCTAAAGATAAAGATTAATTTCAAAATGAATTTGCATTTTCAATAGGAAGAGTTACCTTTAAAGGAACGATTAAGTAATAGTTCATCATCAACTTCTTTTTGTATTTTTGCAGCTTCGATTTCATGCATACACTTTCTTCGATGTATATTATCCACAGACATACTATTTGTTAGACAAAATGGTTCGGGTACTGTTACACGACCTGCCCAATTATCATTTAATGGCGCACTTGGAGGACGTCGAGTTCTTTAAAAAACAATCATATAAGATTCTCTCAATAACTGAATTACTTTATTTATCTTACTTTTTCTGTTCTAAATAATCCTCTAATTCGAATTCATTCCATAAATTATGTATTTGATTTTGAACATGACTCGTTGATAAATCATGTTCATTTTTTGTTATTGTATCGTCTGCAGATGTTCGATGTGGACAATAAGCTATATTATCATCATGTCGTCGAACTATATTCGCTGATATGGGACGATGATGAATATGATGTTGAGTTTGATCTTCAATAACAAAAACTGGTGATGGTGATCTTCTTGATGCAGTTGGTAGTGGTGGTTTTGATGTAACTATAGTTACGTGTTTTTGTTCTATATTTTGTGGATAATATGGTACATCAAATGATTGAACGTTCTTTAGGTTATAATACTCATGTTCAATTTGCGCCAATCGAACACGTTGTTCGCGGCGAATTTCTTCAAGTGAATCAAGATATGTTGTATTTCCATCTTGATTACCAGCATCGACTTTTGTAAGTAATTTTTGTTTATATTCTTCAAAATCTGATGTAGTATTATATGCTGAACGTATTAATGGATTGAGTTTATCAAGATTAGCACGAGAACTATAATAATCAACTACGGAACCACTAGCCATCTGAGGATTTTATTCAAAAGAATGAAAAAAATGATGCAAAAAAAAACATAGTAATAATTGATGAATCCAAACAGACATTATTTAATAGGTTGTTGAGGATCGCATTGGTTTCAACCTCTAGAATGTTGATGAACATAATGATTATTTTATGTCACATAGCGTCCTCTGTTGATTGTAAATTTTGCTACAAATAATATAAAATACAGAAGATAGAGTTGCAATTGAAGAAATTATTGTTGATCGAACACATATAAATCTTGAAATCACAGCACAAATAATTGATATTATTAACGAGTATTTACAAAAACGCTAAGTTATGAATTTAAAATATAATAATACTTCATCAGATATATTTAAGTTTATCTAAAAACTTTTTAACGCTAAAATAACTAATCATTGATCTAAAAAAAACATTTTTAAATAAAATTCACTTTTCCTTTTGACAATCTCAATAGTTAATTGAAATATATTTGCTAAAGACATAAATGCAGAAAAATAAATAAAAGTTGAAATCTGTCCAATCAAACTGTTTAGTTATCTAATAAAAAAATACATGCACTTTTAAATTGATGATAATATATTTCACTTTTCTCGTTTACTTTACATTTTATTCGTCAATTCATGATTATGTTTCAATAGAATTATAGAGTAAATATATTTACGTTGAAAGAAACAATGTAGTGCATGGAGTTTCTATGTTAAAATAAGTTTAAAACAATCTCGATAGTTATTATCGAATATTAGAATTAACTGTTAGTTATATATCGTTTACAACTACTATTAGTAGATGAGCAGTTATGTTTGTATTAATAGAATTTTATTTCTATATACTATTATTTAAAGATTTCAAGATCAATTGTATTTTTTTTATTATTTCTTTTACTAGTAGAAACAGATTAGAATGATCAACTTTTCTAAACAATGTTGCTCTTCAATGAATCAAATACCAATGTAATTCATGATATGGAACTAAAATTTAGTATGTATAATTAAATCAGATTTTGATTGTATTTAGTTCTATTTATATTTCTTTTAAAATTCATCTAACTAACGTTTCACTACATGAGATATATCTTTATCAAAATCGATTAATAATGAAAATGAACTAAAGATTTACAATCGTTGATTTTATCAAATCATGTATCAAATGAAATGTAAAATCATTGAATAGTAGATTGAATGACGTTCATGAAGAAAATTAGTATGTTTTTGTGTAAATATAAATAGAAAGAAACAGTGCCCCTTACTAAATATGATACTATGCAAATAGAGAGGAAAAAAATCACGGGGGAAAGAATAGGATGTACACTCTCATACAGGTAATTTCATTTAAATAAATATACAATTTATAGTTTCAACAAAGAAAATTGAGTTTTATCCGATTAGAGGATAAAAATCAAAAAATATTTCTGTTATAAATTTCTCTATAATAATGATTACTCTATATGAAATTGTCATCTCAAATCTATCCAATGTATACTTAAGTATAGATTTAGTCATGCCGCGCGCTTGCATCATTATCCACTTATGATTTGTTTTTCAATGTATTACATCAAATAATTGATTAGTATGAACAAGAAGAAGAAGAAAAAAAACGTCAAGTATATAGAAAAGAACACAGCGGCGTCTCTATGACCTCTTTCTCTTCCTCTCTTTGCTATCTCTCTTTTTGATTCTATTTGTGTAGGTGTGATTTTAAGTGACATGTATACAAAAAATTAAAGATCAATATATTCATTCGTTCACTTTGCAGTTCAATTCGTTGTATTGTTGTCGTTTTATTCTTTGTGACTTATCAAAGTTAATGCCTGTAAGAGAGTTTGACCAATCTCAAATTACTTGTTAATGTTGTCGCCGACTATAACTACGACTACTATATTATACATGACGGCTTAAAATTCCACTTGGTCATCATATCATATTGATCTATTTATAAAGACTGAGTATATATGTGAAAAAGAAAAGAGAGAGAGTAAAAGAAATGTCGTCATTAAGAAGGCAACTAGAGAAGTATTTGTTGTTTTATCTGACGAAATCAAACGAAAGAGCGCATATTAACTAACCATCTGCTATGAAAGCCAATTAGATACACCTTTCTTTTGTTACATTATTTACATTTCATTGATCCAAGGATCAAAAATCTTTTTTGTTCTTTGTCATATTTTGTTCTTATTTTTATTTTCTTGCACTGTTGGATTTCGTTTCAATATTCTCATTTGTGACAGACGCGTATAGTAGATATGCACTTTCATACATTAGACTAAAACAACAAATAATGATCTTCAACAAACATAACAATCAATATTATTAGCTCACAAGAACATATCTTTTTTTTCTGATTATTTATTCCATTATTCTCTTATAAATCTATCTAAATACCAACCACTGTGCACGATAGAAAATAGCAACCATTTGTTGGTCTTGTATATTATTTTCTTGTGTCCATTAGTGGTTCGATGTTCTTTACATTAATAATGATTTCCGGTGTGTACGCCTCCGCATATATCTATCGATTTGACTACAACAAGCTTTTTCCGACATGTTGTCAATTTGACAAGTGCAATAATCTTCTCATTGATGGTCTTTCTTTTTTTTTTTGTATTATAATAGGAAGAAAGAGAAATTAATTTATTTTTTGTTTGAAGAAAAAAAAAGCATATCTTATCTTGATCCACTTGTTAAGAAAAAGAGCAAAGGACAAATTTGAAATTATTTCCGGATGACTATAGGGCAAATTTTCTTTTTTATTATATTAAATGATTTATAAAATCATATTATATTTATTTGATATCATATTAAATATTAATCGTATAAATTTTTTTCTTTTGCTTTTTTTTTATGTTAGTTTCAAAGTCAATCATTTTTCTCATCTGTGTATGATCAAATATGTAAAAGAGAAGAAAAAAAAAACGTTGTTGTAAAGAGCACGAAAATTGATACGTTGCCTACACTGCAAAAAAAAAAAAGAAGAACAGCAGCAGTATTAGTAGTTCGTATATTAAAGTGTGTGCATAGTCTATATTCTCTTATTTCTTAGTAAGTTTGTTGATGGTATTTCATCAATCTGTACGTAATCGATCTTTTTATGTATAGGGTATTGTTGTTGTTGTATACACATGCAGTTGTTGGGGAGACCGTCATTGTATATTTTTTATTGACAAATAATGCTGATATCAAATAAGAGAATACAGAATAAAAAAAAGAGAAATAATCATTTGGCACCAATCAATGATCCGTCCGATTGCTTTATAGATATAATTTGATTCGTCAATCTCTTCAATTTTTTTCTCTTTCTTATTCTCTCTTTTTCTCTCTCATCGATTGTGTCTACAATGATAGATTAATCACAATTTTTGATCAGTGATATATAGACATACGGTACGTGTAGACATATCGATTAAATATGAGTACAAGTCCATCATCTCGTAATCATACTAAAAAGATGCATAAAAATACAAATATGAATGCACCTACGAAACATCAACAACAACAGCAACAATCATCATCATCATCATCATCTTCAACATCATCAGCTTTTCCACGTTATTTACCTCATGCTCTTTTATTACGTGCTACTGAACGTTATCAACGTACACCAAAATGTGCACGATGTAGAAATCATGGTGTTGTATCAGCATTAAAAGGTCATAAACGTTATTGTAATTGGAAAGATTGTACTTGTGCTAAATGTACACTTATTGCTGAACGACAGCGTGTTATGGCAGCACAAGTAAGTTGTATCAAATATAAAAGAAAATATTATATTTGTTATTATTATTATTATGTTCTATAGGTTGCTTTACGACGACAACAAGCCCAAGAAGAAAATGATGCTCGTGAATTAAGTGCTATTTATGGAACACCACCAGAAGCTATTTTAGCATTACGACGATCACTTAATGCAACTGCTGAAGGTTTAGCAACAACATCAACTGTATTAGATGATGAAGAAGGTGATACAAGTAATGATGAAGATAATTCAAATGATGGTATATATATAAATAAGAAAAGAATGATTAGAATAAAAAATATTTTCTTTTATTTTATAGTTGTTACTGTTGAAAAAAATTCAACATATAACGGAATGAATGGTAAAAATGGTGGTGGTGGTGGTGGTGGCCGTGATGATGATGATGATGATACAAATAGCAAAAGTCCTCATCCATCATCACCATTAGATAATCATTCAACAAAATTGGCATCAGCTTCACCACTTGCTGTTCGATCAACTGATGACTTAGGTTCTGGTCGTCATTCATCACCTATTTCACCTTCATCATCACCAATAACAAAAGAAACAATGACAAATCAACAAGCACAACAATTTTTTCCTCTTCCATCAAATGAACATGAAATGTCTGAAGCTGTTAAACGTGTTATTGCAAGTGTTTATTCAGAAGCAACTAAATCAGCTTTTAGTCCAATAATGGCATCATCTTATTTAAATCATCATCATCATCATCAAAATCGTCTTTATGCTGCACCTTATCCTCCACCTCATCCACTTTATTTTCATCATGCACCTCCACCACCAATCCCATCATCAGCATCTATGAGTATTCTATCACGTACAACATCATTAGCAGCTGTACCAAGACATCAATCTCATCATCGATGTATATTACCATTTTGTACATGCAAACTTGTTGCACCACCACCATCATCATCATCAACAACTAATTGATATGTGATGATTTTTTCTTTTGGAAACAAACTCCTTCTTTTATTCTCCTTCTCTTCTCTTCTCTTTCTTCGTTGCATATTGTGTGTATGTGTGTGAGTGTTTTCACTTATATAAATATAAATATAACTAAGATAAATAAAAATATAGGACTCTATTGGTCCATTCTTTAATGTATAATATCGATTCTTTTTTCTTTGTTTATCATATAATGTATATTAACATGAAACAAAATAGGATAGAATTTATCATTCATAATTATTATTAATCATAATAATATAGTGTATTTTTCATCAATGTAATAATGTTTTTTCTTTTAAATATATATATATACGATTGGATTTCATATATAGTTTATCTAATATACTCATTTGAGATAATTCAGAGAAGGATAAACATTTATAGATTTCTACTCTGTACTCAAGAATTAAAATCGTAAATAAAATTTGAATAATTGTGATTTCGTCTTTAGTTCAAACTTTCGGTACAATTCAGTATCTTCAAAAATCTACAGTAAATTTTTCCTTTGAATACTGTCGATTATGTCTATATAATAAAAACACGGCAACTGACTTCTTAATACATGACTAATATCATTTTTACTAGGACATATTGTTTCTTTTATTTTTATTTTCTTGAATGGATAAAATGATTTTTCAACATATAACGTCTTTTCTTTTATGAACAAAAGTTATTGAGTAAAAAGAAAAGATAAAAAATTTATATTCTTCGTGTCTAATTTCCTTCTTGTCACAGGACGAATGTAAATTTGACATTGAACAGAACTATTCTTTCTCTCTCATATATTTAGAACTATTGTCATCTTTTATGAAAAGAAAGTATGTCGATAGATGTCTCTAGCTACTAAAATATTCTTTTAATATATAGTGTATATATATAATAATCATATCATTAACCTTGGTTATTTAGTAAAGAACATATATATTTGAAACATCATGATTATTTCTTTTTTTGTTTATAATGATATTCAATCAACTTTTTGTTTTGTTTTGTTTTAAACTTATCCATAACAAAAGAAGAAAGAACATAACATGTAGAATAGAGTAAAAATGAAAAAAAAACATTTGTGTATTTAAATCTGTCAACTAATATCACGCATTGGCCACCGGCATACCTTCAGCCTAGATTAGTAGAAAAGAATATATATGAAATTTAATTAGAAATTTTTTGATAACTTACTTTCTTAAAATCTTTCATATTTGTTGTAGCAATAGGTGTTCCATAGAATGATATAGATTTAATGATTGTTTGATCAGAATCTGATTGATTATTAGCAAAGAATAGCTTAAAATTTCAAAAGAAAAAAAAAGTTATTTAATATATTTATTATAAAAAATGAAAATCTTTACTGAAAGTGATTGAACATTTTGAAATTTAACAAATCGTACTTCAACTGGTGATCCATCTGTAAGATGTTTCTTCTCAAATCTATTACAAATTCAAAGAATTACTTTAAAAATAAAAATGAAATATTCGATTTTACTCAAGTGTTTGTACGGCTTCACTTTTTTTTGCGTCATTAAAATCAATTGCTTGCCGATTTATAAATAATTTCACAGTCTTTGGACCATTATCTATAAAAAAATTCATTCAATAAATACAATATAAAGATATGGACAACATACCTTCGGGTGCTTCAATAGCAATCGAATGAATTTTTACGATTTGATTGAATGCTATATGAAGAATTAACTAAAAGAAAATAAAATAGAAAGTAATTCATTTGACTTTTTCGTTTAAATTGAATATTTACTTCCGGATCATCTTCATCTGACCTAAACATGCCTGGTTGATTACCGAGTACGGCATTTTGCCATTTATCAATTTCATTTAAGGCCGTACAACTTTTTTCTTCAACAAACGGCTTCAGATCTGTCTGTATAGGTCATCGAAGATAATAATATTAATGATAAAAAAAAAAAGAAATAGAAATTTGATCTCTTACATATCCAATATCTTTTGTTGGTGTCTCTTTATAAAACTTTTTAATTGTTTGTTCAATTGGATCTTTACTTGCACCTTGTAAACGAGCAACTTCTTTAGCATGTTGAAAAAAAACAAATGTTGGCATAGCTTTAATTGAATATTTTGCAGCTTCACTCTATTAAAAATAAATAAGATAAGAAAAATAAATTGAAATAGAAATCTTACTGTGCATTTTTCTACATCTGCTTTGAGAAAGACAGCATTCGGATATTGACTACTTAAATTATCAATATGTGGGGCAATAGTTTTACATGGACCGCACCTAAAAAGTAAAATAATGAATTAAATAATGGAATAAAATTTCGTCAAACCATGTGGCAAAAAAATCAACCATAACAAGTTTATCACCAGCTGATGTTAATTCACCATTGAGACTATCATTGGATATTTCTCGAACAGGCATTTCTTAGGCTAAGAAAAGACTTTTTCTAAAAGCAGAACAAATATTGAGAAAATAATCACTTATGTCTTTTCTTGTTTTTTTTTTATTGCCGGCCAAGACAAAGTGAATGAGAGAGAGAGAGACAAATAAACAATATGGATGATATATGTAAAAAGAAACAAAGATTCTAGAACGAGTAATAATAGATAAAATGAAAAAGAAGAAGGAAAGGTATTTTCATGATCACCAACATATTTAATAGACAACAAGACGAACGCAAAATAAAAGAAAACACCTTTAGCTACTGCCACGCATATTTTTACTTGTTTTTCGGATTAAAAAATAGAGTAAATTCAAAACAAAAAACAAAGCATAGACGACAAGACACGAAAAAGAAAAAAGAAATGGAATTTTATAGTTCAAGTTGGTTTTGTTTTGCTATGTTTTAAATCATACTAATTGACTGAAAGAAATAATTTCTTGTTTTCTTTTCATTTTCACTTCCGTTAAGCAAGTTGTTATTGTTTGTTGTTGTTTGGTTTATTGTGCGAAAAAGAAAGAACGACATCGAAAAAACAAAATCAAAAAAAAAAAGAAGAAAGTTTAAAGAATCGAAAAAATGTAGAATATAGATTAGGTATGTGTGCATAAATATCAGCCGGCGTATTTTTCTTTTTTTTTTCAATAAAAAATTTTTTTGTCTATAGATTTTTTTTAGCAACAACCGCCCGATGATTGTACTGGTTTTCCTTGGGTATTTATATTAACATTTGTTGATGGTTTACCCGATGATGGTCCTGATTGAACGGATGACATACGAGATTTAATTTCCGTCGCCATTGTCATAAATGCCTGTTCGACATTTGTCGAATTTTTCGCCGATGTTTCCAAAAATGGAATACTTAACGAATCGGCATATTCCTATTTATTAGAAAATAAATAAATTATGTTTTTTTTTTGTAATATAGAAAGATCTTCTTCATACTTTTGCTTTAGTATAATCCACAGCTTTTTTAGCTGTTAAATCACATTTATTTCCAACTAATAATTTGTTCACACTTTCACTAGCATAACGATCAATTTCTTGTAGCCATTGTTTTACATTATTGAATGATTCCTTAAAGAAATAAAACGATATACACTATTATTATTGTTATTGAAATAATTCATACTTGATCGGTAACATCATAAACAACAATTATACCATGAGCACCTCGATAGTAGCTACTTGTGATAGTACGAAAACGTTCTTGACCAGCTGTATCCCACTAAATGAAGAAAAAAAAACAAATAAATAATAATTTTCTTTTAAAAATAATGAATCATTTACAATTTGTAATTTGATCGTTTTACCATCGAGATCAATTGTTCGAATTTTCTACAAACAAACAAAATTTCCATTGACTGGATAATAAAAAAATAAAACATACGAAATCAACACCGATTGTACTGATATAACTTTCAGTATAAGTATCATCCTAAAAATGATATAAAATATATTTCAAAGAATATTTTCTCATGTTCAACTTACAGCAAATCGTAATAAGAGACATGATTTACCTACACCAGAATCACCGATAAGCAATAATTTAAAAAGATAATCACTAAATAGAAAATATGAAATTATTAATTTTCTTTGTAGTAGGAAAAAAACCCTATGACTCACTATTCAGGATTCATCTTGTGTTATTAGATTTCTTATTTCGAAAATAATGAAAAGAGATTTGTTTATGATCTAAATATAAAGATGTCGTATAATAAGAGTCAAAGTACAAAAAAATTAACTTGAATGAAAATAAACAGGTAAGAGTAAAAATGATGATGATGACTAGTGCCTACGTTTACGTTATAGGCAACCTTTTTAAGATAAACTCGGCCGCTACGAGGATTTTTTTTTTTACTCTTTACCAATGATATGATGATTAGATAGAGAATAATGAAAGATGTAATAGAAAGAAAAAAAGAAAACAAGATGAATATTCGAAATTAAAATGTTGGATCACGAGATTATACTATAGACATTGGACTAAATGCATTTGTATTTTAAAAAAATCAACAATTGAAATTTCATGATTGGTAAAAGATAAAACCAATGGGATAGGATGATTCATATATATGTAATGCTAAGACAAACAGCTGGTATTATGTAGTAAAATAAAAGAACAGAGATAGAAATCGATGTAACTATTGTTCTAACAGCTGTCGAATTATTGATAAAAATAATCTATAATTTTTATTATTTATTTTAAATTAAAAACAACTAAATTTTTAGAGATATTTTATTTATAACAAAAAAATTCCCTTACTATGACTACTCAAGAAAAAATACAGAGATGAGAAAATCTTAGAATGTATTTCTTCAATTTTAACTCCAGTTCAACAAAGTTATATTTGTTCAGGAACATTTATCAGAGCATAAAGACATTGTTATACCATGAAATCATTTGGAATTAATAGAAATAATGATAATGAATCATAATATGAATATATTTTTACATTATTCTAATTAAATAATCGAAACTGACGGTATATTCATTATAGAAAAAAATATATCAAGATAATACAATTAAAACATCTGTTGTTTTGTTTCTTATTAAAATTGTTGGAATTTTGAATAATTCAATAGTACATTTCAGATATTAGAGTTATTCTCTCGATGAGGGTCTGGGAGTGTTTGAGAGGTTAATATATCATCCATACTACCCGAAAGATCTGCTCTTCTTCTTCGTTAGAGCTATTATACTTTAGGATGCATTCATTATTCATCATCACTTATTTTCTAATTCTGAATTCTATTGTCTTTTTGTTGCAGAAAAATACTTTTGTATTATGATATTTCCATACATAAAAATTAAAAAATAAGTAAATAAATTCATGAAGTAAGACAATGCATAGTCTCATAATTTTTGTCATTTGATCTTTTATGTACGTCTCATTAATTTAAGAATTAAACAAATTTATTTTTGTCATAATCTTTATTTTAAACGTCACACTTTATTTGAAGATAAAATCACAACGAAAATACTTGAATACGATATTGACACTTATAACAAACATAAAAATTGACACACACAAACACACACGAATAAGAAAAAAAAACGAGATTCAAAAGAATAATATATATAGAATATAGTAAATAAGAAAGCATTTTAATAATAAGTTAAAAGACAATGAGAGAAAATTTGAGAAAAAAAAAGAAAAACAAAACAATTATATTAAATTATGCGTCTGAATAAAATAGAAAAGAAAGAAACAAAAAAACATATATCACTGTTATTTTCAATGAACAGATCAAGATAAAAAATATGAAAATAACTAAGGAATGTTGAGATTTAAGCATCATTTTTTGATGCATTTGTCAATAAGAAGCTGTCACCATTAAAAAATTCCGATTGGTCATTGTTTGGATTCTAAATATCAGAAAATTATTTTACAAAAATAGAACAACAGTATTTTTTTTACTTTTCGAATTGCATTTCGAACAACATTCATAATCTTTTTTGCTTTTGATGGTTTTTTAAATTGTATTTCATCACCTGATTCTTCATCGCTAATTTGAGCACAAACATTATCAACTGGTGCATCATCATCTGGATTTGCATTTTCAACTAATTGCATATAACGATATTCAAGTCTAAAAAACAAATCTTTCTATGTATCGAAAGTGTAAGTTTATTAGTTGGCACATCCCTCAAACGCTACTGCATAGAAGAGCCTCTATAGCACCTGTGACATATACCAACAAATATATTTTCTTTTAGAAATAAAGGAAGACCAAGAACTTAAAGGTATCTTTGATAGAAATGTACGTGAGTTCCACGTTTTTAGCGCTAAAAAGATTTCCTATACTTACTTTCTATTTTTTCTCCAACACATAATAACTAATGATATCAGTACAATTGAAATTATAATAAATAAAATAATAATTATTTCAATTTCCAGTGATAACATTGAACATCGACGTATTTCAACTTTTTCATTTAATTTATGTGAACAATATCTATGTTTAAGAAAAATTTTCATGGAATAGAAAAAAAGAAATATATAATCGAAAGTGACATACGGATAAGGTACTTTACGAACTTCTTGTCGACCAAATTTGCAAGGACCAAGAAATGTTCGAAAACCATTTGTACTTTCATCACATGTTGGACAAGCAAGAGGTGTTCGTAAAAGAAATTGAAATGTACATCCATCACAAGTACCTGTTGAACAATCACTTGGTGTTTGTAATTTATATTTTAATGATAAATTTTGTTTTATATCATCATATAGATGATCACATCGTAATGATAAATAGGTAGTACGTTGACGACATGTTTCAGGAGCTGATAGATTTGCTCGATAAACAAGTGTTATATCAGTTAAATTATAATCAGAACGAAGTGGAGGAAAATATTTTGATGTTGATAATGAAATATTAAGTAATTCTTCTCCGAACCTAAACAAGAAAAAAATAAAAGATTAGTTAAAATGAGAAATCAAAAGAAATGTTATTTACTCATCAATATAAGCCACAGATGCCAAAGTACTATTTTGTTCCGGTACAGAACCCATACGACATAACTTTGAATCAGTTATACCTTGATTTGTTCGACGTTTTGGTTCATCCGGTTCCTAAATGAATACCACATTTTGATTATCTAATTAATATTTGTTTACATACCGGTGTTTTAGCACAAGTAACACTTGCATTACCACAGATAGTAGCATTAAATACATGAAAATAACCACTACCTTTTTGTGTAAATAATTTTGAACCATGAAATTCAATACTAAAATGAAGATATTAATAAAAAAAGTTTTGCTATTAATTATTCATACGTTGATATTGCTTTCAAGTCATATTGAATATTTCCATTGAATGCTTGTTGACATGGAACATAACATGATATACCATCATCTGATATTGTATTACTTGGACATGGTACACATACTGTTGGTGTTGGATCATTAGATCGTAAACGAGTTGCAATAGTCGATTTCGGACAAGCAATACATGTATTATTTGATAAAATATTTCCAGGAGTACAGGATTTACATCTAATGAAGAATTTGAAATTAAAATTAATTTTAAAATAAGTCTTGTTTTTTTTACTCTGTTTCTTGTTGATTCGTTGTTAAACAAGTAACACATCGATCAGATCCTCCGACTTGTGTATTTGTAACAAGAATTTCATAGATACGGACTTCATCAGTACCTTGTTCTTGATCATCTGATGTAAAAAGCCAGTTAAATATAACTGAATCTGGACTAGTAATTGAATATCTAAAAAAAATAAAAATTCAATTTTCAAAATTATAAATTCCTATTAAAACATACTTATAATCAATTATATCTTTATGTTCAGATTTTTTATCCATATGCCATCTATGAATAACTAACCAATCATCAGCATCATCATCATCAATATCCTAATAAAATAGAAAATTTTGTATTAAAAAATAAATCTCATTTTTATTGTTTATTATTACTTGAGCTACTAAGAACAATGTACATGATGATTCACATCCAAGTGAAAACTTAAAAGATAATGTTCCATATTCTTTTGTAGTTTTTGATAGTTCTAATTGACGAAAACCTTTTGTAATTGTTAAACTCAATGCGGAAACAACGTCAGGTACTGCTTGAGATGATATATATTCTATACTTGGTATCTATTCAAATCAAATTAGAGAATTTAGACAAATATATATTTATAAAATTAATACAAACCCAACTTTGACTATGATAATCTAGATTTACTTAAAAGAAAAATATTTTTCTTAGATATATATATTCAAAATAAGTAAGAAATATATACATACTAGCATTAGTTTGATCAAATGATATATAACTTCTCTTAAGAAACATTGGAAGTTCATTCCAAATTTTATAATATAAGCCAGGTACAAGTGATAAATCATTTGTACATTTTACACACTCAGCTACTGTTCCATTTGAATAAGTTTTTGACGGACAGAATTCACATGTATTTGTGTTTTTATTTTTATACATTCCACTAAAATAAATAAAAATATTTTATTTTAAAACAAAAAAAGAAATAGATACGAACGGATTACATGTACCACAAGGTGATTGCTTCATCTCTGCCGAAGGAGCATCACCTATACAAATTTTTGGTTGAATTGGTTGATATTCAACAGTTGCCTAATAGATTTTTACATACAATTATTTATTTTTTTAAATAGAAAGAAAACAAACTAACCACATTAGATTTATCACATCCGGTAAATACTTTTTGAAAGTGTTTTGCTTCACATACTGGTCTTTTTGTGCACTTTGATGATCCTTCATCTAATTCACGATTTAATAAATATGATTAGTTACTAAAAAACATTTTTTACCTGCATAGTAACCACCTAGACATGGTAAACATTTAGTAGAACCTTCATCTGCTGTATATGTATCTTTTGGACAAGGTGTACAAGTACTAGACTTTGACTTGGCAGCATATGTACCTAAAATCAGATTTTTATTTTCAAAGTCATTCATAAAATTGATACAAAAGTTAAAAGATCAATCATTCAGTTTTCTATACTAAATAATGTTTCTCTATTGATTAAATATTATTACCTGGTGGACATGTAATACATTCTTGAATAAATGCACTTCCTATAATAGAAAAAAAATATTTTTAAGGAAAAAAATACTTTTTAATTTTTAACCTTCAACAACAATTGATCGAATTGAAAATGGAAAATGAAATGCATTTATTCCAAAAGTATATAATGCAAGTTCATACTCTCCAGCTGTATCAATTTTAATCTACATAATAAATTATCTTATAATATTAGAAAAAAGAACAAAGTGAAATTATTATTTTACTGTTTTTTCGTGCCAAACACCATAGCCTGTCGGTTTAAGCATATAATCAACTTTTTTTCTTGGATCACTTTGATTATCATCATCATCATCATCATCATCTCCATCATTATCTTTATCATCCGTACCAAAGTCACATTGTGATGACATCTAAATAAAACGTTTTTGTTTTATTTTAAATATCAAATAAATAAATTATAATATTATTTATTTACAGTTGCGAATACATAGGATGTTGGTAAATTATATGTTATACTAATTGCTCCAGCACGTTGGAGTTTAAATCGAATCAAGACAGAAATAGCACAATTATGTTGCACATCACCTTGCAATACATTACCTTTGACATGCCAAACACTAAAAAACGAAATTTTATTTTTTTTTCAAAAATATTGTATATTGATTTTTGAAAATCTTACGTATTTTTTTTACATTCAGTTTCATATGAACTAACTAATGATGTTGCTTTGAGAGAAATATCGGTTGGTATTCCCCTAAGACCATCAAGTTCATCGAATGTATATTGATGACCACCACCAAGAGAAAATGTTCCAGTTTCACAATCTTTACAGCCAAGTGTATTTTTATCAAATGTTTCTCCTTTTGCACAAGCAAAATCTAAGAAAAAATAAATGAACTTATTTCGCACTAATCAAAAATTTACTTACTGCACGGAACAGATAGTGGCTCAGAAAGTGATTTGCCTGAACATGATGCTTTATTACTTGGCACTTCAATTAACCATTGATAATCTTCATTTTTATAATTATAACATTTCGATACAATATATTTCGTATCGTCCTAAAATTAAAATAAATCTATGAATAAAATCTTTGAAGAATATAGAATCAATTAAAAAAGAAAAGGAAAATAATCAACCCAACAAAAAATTGTATTAAAAATATAATATAGATCACAAACAAAAAGACCCTAACCCAAATTCTATATAGTATAAAAAAACGATCACACTAGCCTCACTTTAATATTCAAGTTTAATAATCAATATTTTCATATATGTAATTGGCTGTAATTAAAGGTTATGGAATACGCTACAGTATATATTAATAGAAATTGAAGTATAAGAAAAATTCTACTTACACATTCTTCCTTTGCTAATACACCAAGAAAGGTAATGATGAAGATAAGATGAATCTCTTTAAAGATTCGCATTATCTACAAATGATAATCATATAATATAAATAGAAATAATAAAAAATCAACGTTTATTTTAAAAACAAACAACAGTAATGAAAGTTTAACAAGCTAAAACAAATCATTTTCTTTTGATTATTTTTTTTTTATTAACCACCGATTAAAATCATTGGACGGTTTTCTGATGTTGCTAAATCATTCATTGGTAAATGTTCTTTTTCTTTTTTATATAATGTTCGTTGTATTAATGAATAGATTTCTTCATCAGTAGCACCGGATCGAAGAGCATCACGTAATGACATTTCTTTATTATCAAATAGACATACTTTCAATTGTCCATCAGCTGTAATTCTCACTCTATTGCATGTTGAACAAAAATGTTCACTCATAGATGTAATAAAACCAACTTTTCCTTGATAAGAATTCTCATTTACACGATACCATTTTGTTGTATCATTCTTATCATTTGGTGGAAGTTTTTCTAGATTATATTTTTGTTTGATTATTTTTAACATTGCTTCATATGGAAAATATTTCTTTTCATTCCATTTATTATCACTAAACGGCATATATTCAATAAAACGAACAGCTAAATTTGGTTGATCACGTGTTAATTCAATAAAATCATTCAATTCATCTGTATTAATACCTTGCATAACAACACAATTTATTTTAACTAATGGATATAGTTTTGGCATATCCAATGCTAAACGTATATTGGTTATAACACGTGTAAATGCTGCACGTCTTGCTAGAAATTCAAATTTTTCTTTAATTAATGTATCTAATGATATATTTAATGAATTAAGACCAGCTTCAGCAAGGGGTTCAAGAAAACGATGTAGAAGAACGCCATTTGTTGTTATACCGATTGTTTTCATTGTTGGATATGAACGTATTCCACGTATAATATCAATTAAATCTTTGCGAATTGTTGGTTCTATTTAAAATATTCATTAGAAAATTTTGTTTAAAACTATAATTTAATCAACTTAATATGTATACGTTAGCAATAAGCCACTCACCTTTTGGAACGACGTACCTCCTCCGGTTAAACGAATTTTATTAACTCCGCCATAGAGTGTAAAAATTCGAATAAGACGTAAAATTTCATTTGTAGTTAAGATATGATTTGCTGGAGAAAGATCAATACCCTTCTCAGGCATACAGTATTGGCATCTATTCAATATTAATTAATTATTTATATATATATATATATATATATATATATATTAAATATTTTCAATACCTTAAATTGCATCTTTCAGTTAATGATATACGTAAATAATTATGCAAACGATTAAAACTATCAATAAGTAATGCTGGTTGACGAGAAACAGAAGTCATCTTAAAAACTAGAAAAAGAAATCAATAAATGAATGAAAAAAAACTAAGCATCAACATATATTTATTTCGCAGTTAACTGATAAGAGCAGGTGAATAAAAAAGAATAGGAGAAAAAAAAACACTGGTAGTTATTATGAAAAATATTCACGAAATAAATAGTACATATTTTATATTATCCAGACGCAAAACGTCGCATTATTATAAACCAATCAAAAAATCGAAGGCAAATCGATTTTATACTGTTTGTCTTACAATGACATCTGTGTTACTTGAAAGAATAAACTTTTCATGCTTGTCAGTTTCGTATAATGAATATACTAAAACAAGTCATATTTATTGGAAAGATAAATTATAATCTATTTTAATCGAATATACTGACCCTTTGCTGGTTTGTATAGTAATCATAACCCATTGAAATAAAAGATTTTAATAGATACTAATTTTTGTATTCCTATATCGATTCTTTACTATTTGAAAAAAATTATCATAGAATAGTCGTTTATATTTGAATGTTATTCTAAAAAAATAAATGTGACAACAGGTGTTTTATTCAGCACACAGGTAGTCATCCATTGGATATGTATTTGATACTCTACGCACACCTTGAATCTTTTCAATGGAATTCGATAGAAAAATGATGATAATATTTCTCTATCAATGGTTAACTGCCTCTAAGTCTAATCTTTAATAAAATATCAATAAGATAAATAAAATAAATTATGCAAAGTAATATTATTCTCCGTGTGTAAATTTAGAGAGGAGGCAAGTTTCTATTTAAAAAATGGAAAAGTCTAAACAAACTAAAGAAAATATCAATTTAGACAATTTTACAATTCATTTTTTAACTTGAATTTGAGAATAATCTAATTGTTTAGACTAAATTAAATAAAGAAAATACTTTACTATAGTATATTTATATCGAGATAAATAAAAGAACGAAATCAATGTAATAGTTTCGCTTTCAGCCGTTGTAATTATTGTTTAAAAATAAAATATTAATGAATACTTGATCTTTTTTCTCTCTTTTAGTAGGTTATCTTTTGATTCATTTTTCTCACACTTTTGCTCTTGACCCTCTCTATATCTGGCTCTTTGTCCATTTCGTCTGGTCATTTTTGATAAGAAGAAAAGAGATGATAAGAGCTAAGGGTTAATATACATATTTAGTACTTATATAGGAGATAAACGAAAAGTTTATTCAATCAACTAAATATTTTTGCATTACAAAAAAAATTTTGTTTTTCATTCAACACGATGGGACCCACCGGTGGGTCTTATTTTCATTGCTTTTCTTAGTCAGAAATCATATACTCTGCATTATCTGTTCTGCCACTGTTACTATTTAATTATTTATTACATGGTGCGATGTTTCTTATCAAAACAATCAAAACAGATATTTTGAACTTTCTTTGCTATCCCATGATTCCCTTCTCTTGATTCTTTCCGAAGCAGCGAGTACAACGTTTGCAGACACTGCACACCAATCAGTGAATTGAAACTTGGAACGACTCGTTGATTAATTTCTTCATTAAGACTCGGAGATTCAAAGAATGAGAAAGACAATGATGAATCATTAATAGAAAATAATGGAACGGTCTTTAAGAGCATTTATTAAAAGTGACCTCTTCATAGATGTGCATATTTCGAAATAGTTTTCTAAAAGAAACTGAATCGTGTCAAATTTGTTAATGAATATTTACTGTCGACAAAGTTTTTGCTATATTTATATTTTCTTTTCAATTGATGATGGCTTATTTTTGACTTAGATTTATAGAAACAGGATATAAAAAGAATCAAATTATATTTCTTTCGTCTGATACTTGACATTGCATCAATTTAGTTTCAAGTGAATAGTAATGACAAGAATAGACAAAGTCTATTATTCCATTATAGTATATGATTAATAGAGATTTTGTTTAAATAAAAGCTATGCATCTGTAAAATACTATTGACCGATTCTATATATATATATATGTCATTCTGATGACGTACTTTATATCTTGGTTATCTTGTCCTTGGAACTTCTGATTATTTGGCTATTATATTTTCTTCGGTAATAATATAAATAAATTCATAATTAAATCATTAGCCATTTCTTTAATCTACGCATTTGTAGTACTGGTGAGTGATGATAGAGGCATGTACTCATAAATGCAGTAAATTATGTTTAATTATAGTCTATACACAACGAAAATACTTCCGTCATTGTTGTCATTATCATTCACATAGTACCTGATGCTTACAATATGAAATTAGAATAAAAAACAATTGAAAGTATTATACGCTATAAATATATTGTCAGTAGCTAAAACCAGAAATTTTAGATCACAATTCAAAATTATAACTGATCAGATTGATTATTTCTATCAAAATAGCCGTATCGTTTTGAAAACATAATGGAAAATTAAAAGTCTATGATAGCTAAAAATTAAGAGTAAATCATGTAAAACGGATTAGTATTAGAAAAACAAGTTGGTTATTAGAGACGGTGTGCCGTCTAAGAAGTCTGCTCCCCCGTCCTCCTCTCACTTTTTTTCTTTGCGGTATATATCCCTAATTATTAGTATAACATAATATCTTTTCACACTTTAATTTTAAAAGCCGCAAGGAAGTTCACAATGAAAGTCATGATTTTTCTTTCGTGATATGTTCGAAGGAGTGTATGTTTATATAAATAGCGCTCAAAGAAGAAAGTACTGATAAATATAAATGTTTCCCATGTTGTCGTGATATAATGTTACTCAACGTTCTTTTTTTATGAAATCATTGATTGAAAAGTATGAATTTTGTGGTAGTATGGCACATTTCCTGTTATTGTCAGTTTCACTGATTGTAATCCCACACGACTATTTTGTTCGTTAAATACTCTTTTTTCTTTTGAGTACATTCAATACATGATATATTTTTCTGTTAGCCATAATTATTTTAATTTTTTTCTTATTATTGTTAAGTAGGAAGTCTTTTACTGAACAAAATATTTCCTAGTACTTAAATATAAAGTCAATAAGTCACGAAAATCTGTCACTCTATTTTGAAATAGAAGCTATTATTAGACAAATATATGAATATATATATATAAAGCATTTGAGAATATAGGACATATTTGTCAGAAAAATTAGTTTATCAACTTGAACTAGACGAATCCTTTTTATACAACTGCAAGCAGTCCACTTCTATTATTTAATTACTAATAAAATATAGACGTAAGTTTTATCTTTATAAAAAATATCAAGTCATTTTTTTATGTACTATTATTTAATTTGAGTATTATTTAATATAATTTGTCAGTTTTCTATAAGGATTTAGTAGATGCATTTGTTTTATTCAGACTTTTTCTTTTATACTATGAATAAGTAAAAAGATCTTAAGAGATCAATTAGTAAATACTGACAGTATTCAGATTTTTTTTTGAATTAATATCATAATAAATAATTTACCGTACGATCTTCTTTATTCTTGTTATACACCTACATACAATGGATTTATGATCGTATGATAGACATCAATTTTTCTAAAAGAGCATAAATTGTAGATAATCAATATTTCCTACAAACTGATATATCATTTTTATATCCAGTAATAAGAGTATTTCGTCGGATTTTTATTCTTTATATCTTTTGAACAAAATATTCCTCCCAACAATTCATATTTATCATGACACCTACATCTTCCTAATTTAATTTCTTGAGACAATTTGTATATATGAATAAATTATTATTGAAACAATAATACATGATCTAATTGTTTCTTTTAAGCGTAATTTGATTTTTATTTTTTAAACGTTCTACACTTCCATCGCTATCATTAAAGAGGAAGAGAAAAGAGAATGAATCTTCTGCTTGAGTAAGAGACTTACTATGTGTATGACTCTGTTAATAAATTAATTGAAAAAAAAGCATTAGAAAAAAAGAGAAAGAGAGAGAAATATTTTTGTTGATAGCGCGTTCATGTTTAACTTAGAGAGATATATCAATCTAGACAATCTACAAAATAACGTCAGTTGACAGAATCAGAACAAATCTTATGACATATACCTTCACCATAATTGCACGTACTCAATCTTTCTGTTACATATCGCAGATCTAGTTTTTTTTCATTGATGTAAAAGAAAATATCAATCAGTAAATTAAGGTAACAATTTTTTATAGCTATATATACAACGAAATTCTTTTATATATATTCACATATATAATTTTTCTCTCTCTCTCTTTAGTATCAAGAAAATGGTTAAAAATTCTCATCTTACTTTACTTGTTATGGTCGTTACCTTTATTTTTCTTTTACTTCTTCCAATTGTCAATTGTACAAATAAACAAATGAAAAAAACCTCAATCAAACAAAATAATGAACCAGCAGCAATAGACAATGTTATATTACAACAAGAAGATTTAAATAATTATTACAATGGAGAAGAAGGAAATATGATTGATTTTATGGATGATATTCTCAAATCTTATCCTCAACGTCGAGCATCATCATTTCATGCCATGCGAGGAAAACGATTTCTTAAAACTGCTTAATATATTTGTTATTAATCATTATTCAATTATACTCATATATGAAAGAATTTTTCTTTTATGAAATAAAAGATCTTGCAGTTAAAAAAAAAAGAAAAGTTAAATTAGCTGTATATAAAGAAAAATGTTTTATTTTATTCATAATAAATATATATATTCTTATTGTAATACTATTCATTGGATATTCTGTACTCAGATTCATTCATCATTGATATATAGTACTAATTCATGAAATTAAAGAGTACATTTCGAGGTAACATTTTTCTTAATGATGATCTCTCGGCTTGAAATAAATTTTCAACGGAACTATAGTTAGTACTTCAAAAATTTTAATTGATTCAGAAACAGTATATTATCCAAGATAAGTTAATATCAAATTGGTCTATTAAGCATGTACATTGAATGTAATTTTCGGACTTTCTATTTTTACATCAAATTTAATGTTTTTTTTGTTGTTGTCTGAAAATAAATTAAATTAATTACAAACCAGACATGTCCATTATGCTATTCAACTCGAGTTTTTGTTAGTATAATTTATACTTAAAAAACTTTTATTTCAATAGATGAACTATATTATAAATATTTTAAGAAAAAAAAATCTTCAACATAATGGCATGGAGTATTTTTTTCTATTCCAGGTATAAAAATAATGAAAATGATTATCCAATTCATAATGTTTGTAGTAATATGGAAGAAAATACAATGAATTTTTTTGACATTATTTAATATATTTTATGTCATTATGCTGAATAAATCTACATTGACATAATTATACACCTATGTTAATATACCGTGTAAAGTTTCTATTAGTAGTTTTTTTGTCGTCAAATTTCGCTTCCCATTGATATAACACAATACTCATAGTAGCAAAAATAATTCGATGGTTTTAATTTACTTCATGATTTTATAATTGTAGAATAATGATGTAGGTTGATTACTTGATATAAATGAGATTTAGAGGGCAACTCAATTTTCAAAACAAAAAAAAACATGATTTTACTCATCTAATCTTTGTTAATGTAATTAATTAGATTTAGAAAATCTTATGTACTCGATCGCATATACGCAGAATGATTCATCTACGTAGATTAAGCTTTGTTTACCTATCTATTCACCTATACAAAATGGTATATAAATGGGCAGGTAGCTTAGTAGAAGCGTATGTCTTATAATTTATTGATATGTGACGTATATACGATACAAAAACAAACATAAAGTCATTAAGTTAATATATGTTTTAAATAATTGCTTCTACAATAGTCGGAATACTTGGTTTGATTGGTCTTGGTATTGATCTATTGCCACGAGCATAACGACGAACCCCGGGATGTTTTCGTTTTTTTGATTGCTTTTGTTTACGAGTATCTTTTCGTTTTTTACTTATTGGATCAACACCGAAACAATATTTCAATATATCCATAATGATAATAAACATTGCAGTAGATATCATAGCAATTATTGCAATGAAACCAATTGATTTCGATACTCTTTGACGTGTAAGAGCTTTATTGGATGTTATTTCACAATATCTACCAGAATAACTATCACTAATACATTCACATGTGTAATTCAGATATGATGAACGACAAATACCATTATTTTGACAAACAATATCGTGACAATAATCAATTTTAGTTTCACAATTAATTCCTTCCCAACCATTTGCACATGAACAACGAAATGTTGTAGTTGATGTTTCATTACAAATACCTATATATAAATAACATATTCATGATACAAAAGGCATCAAAAGAATATTAATATACCATTATTCCAACAAGTATTTGATTTGCATGGTCGATTATCAATCTGACATTGAGTGCCAACAAAACCCGAGGAACATGAACAATTATAAGCAGATATCGTCGTATTTATATCATTACAAGTTCCATTATTCTCACATGGTTTGAGTATGTCACATGGACTACTCGATGTATTACAGTTAAGACCAATAGCTGTTGTATTTGGGCATGTAAATGTAACAAAAAAGGATGGTGACGATTGTTGAACTAAAGTGAGATAGACTACAGTTAGTTACATTCATAATATAGAAATACATTTACCACAAGTATTGCTTGTTAGAAGAAATTTTTGAATACGATCGTTATAAGCATCAACAACATATAAATTACCATAGCTGTCAAAGCTAATCGTTTGTGGGTGATTTAACTGATTTGATGCGAAACCCGATATACTAGCACATCCAATTATACAGCGGAAACCATTCGAACTTGAACCAATAATACGATTATTTTGCGAATCAGAAATAAATATGTAACCATCACCATCAAACACTATTCCTACAGGACAATCGAGATCTATAGTGTTGTTTGCTCCGCTGCCTACCACTGCTGTTCCATTCAGTTGACCGAATTGAAAAAGTTGAACTCGATCGTTAATACAATCTGCTACATATAAATTAAATTTAATATCAACAAAGATTCCTCGAGGTGAGTTCAACCTATTTGGTCCTAATCCGGCAGTACCATTTCCCGCTACGATTGTTGTTTGATTGATTTCATTATACGCCGATCTTTTTATAACTTTATGAAGATCACCCAACGAACAGTAAAAACTATTATTACTATCAACAAAGAGACTATAACAAGTTCCTTGAACATACATTGCAGGAGTACTATTTGTAGCATTATTTATCCATATGTCCACTCGGTGATTTGGTGAACCATTATCAATGTAAATGTCTCCGTTACTTGTTACAAAGATGGAGAATGAGTCGTTCATACTATTAGAGATGTTTCTTGTAGGTATTGTATCTCCTTCAGTCCACGTTTGTACACGATCTAAGGATTTCTCTAGTATATAAACTGTGTTGCTAGTGTCGATGAATAAGTCATATGGATTTGTACCAATTATATTGCTATTTTCAAAAGTAATTACCGTCGAGTTCCACAACGCACATGGACTGAATTTTGGTTGATTATAAAATGGAACTAAAATATTAACAAGAAAGAAATTGCTATTGTATATTTCTAATGTAGTTTTCTTCTGATTCAATTCATAAGATCTTTTCATGTGAAAATTAATGATCGTATGCCGTTTTAATTTACTCTTTAGAATAAACATCTATGAATTAATCAATTTATTACCTTGATATTGAAATTTTTGGATTCGATTATTGGCATAATCATTGACATAAAGTGAACCTTTGCTATCAAATGCTAAACAAACTGGATAGTTCAGCTGTGTCGAAGTAACACCACTTGTACCTGTACAACCAACAATACATTCACCAACAATTAAATTAGGTATCCATCGCATAATTCTTGAATTACCAGCATCACTAATATACATATATTCGTTTGTATCGACCATGACATACATTGGTAAGTAAAGTTGTGTTAAACTTGAACCACCTGTTCCATTTCCTGCTACGCGAACACCTGAAGAAGCACCTGAGAACCATTTCATAATTCGATGGTTTTGATGATCCGCAATGTAAAGAGTTCCATTAGAATTTACAAATATTCCGTTTGGAAAAAAGAGTTGATCATCATTTGAACCATATATAATACCACCAGCAACGATTGTACCGTTTGTTGAATTTGGGAGAAACAACAACACAGTATGATTAAACGTGTCACTCAAATATATATTATCATTATTATCAACAAAAAGATAATGAGGACGATTGAAATGGGTTATACTAGGTATTCTAATTGGATTTGAACCATTAAGTAACATTTTTTGCACTCGATCATTACCGAAGTCAATAACATATAGTGATGTATTAGTGGTAGAGATACCAAATGGTCCATCGAATTCACCAAGATTAGTACCTGGTCCTGACCCGATAAAAGATACATTATCGGTATGATCAAGATCGACAACAACGATACGATCATTTGCTGTATCGCTAATATAGAGAACATCGTTGTACGCAATTGATATACCATAAGGTGATGAAAGTTGAAACAGAGATGAACCAGCTGTTCCATTTGGCAATCCAACAACAGTAATGCCTGTTTGGTTCCAAGAAGCTCGTGGTGACAGATTTATTTCCGCTTAAAAGACACACAAACATCATTTAAATGATTATCGTTAATGAGAGAACTGAAGTTAAGAAAAACTATGGTAAGTTATACCTATGATTTGATGGATGATGAATTGACTAATTAACCATACATTCCAAATCTTGAGTTGAAGCATATTTTCTTTATATTGTTATATTATTTTCAATAATGAAATATTCTATAAGGATAATTTTTGTACTGATCTTTATTAAAGAAAAAACAAATATGAACTGAATGTCTCTTTGAAGATTTTTCTCCGTAATGAAAGAAAATATTAGTTCTTCGGATACTTTGTTGATATTATTTAGTAATCAAGGGATTGAAAAATGTTCTCCAAAGTTTTCTTCCATTTTTAACTATTTCGATTAAGCATTTGATGGAAATTGGTATTTTGATAGTTTATCATATCACAGAATGATATTTACTGTTAAATTATGTTCATCATAATATCATCGAATCAATTATTTGTCAAATCAAATAAAAACCCTGGAAATAATGTTTCTTTATTGACTACGGAGTAATACAAGTATCCGAAAAATAAACAAATAATGAAATGAAATACAAATACTTGAAATTGTTTTTTTTTGTTATGTTTTATTTCAATTACAATATATGTAAATAAATTTGAACGCAAGTTAAACTTATTGCATTATTAATAGTGAGTTGTAAAATAGATTTCTTAACAGAAGAGAAATGGCGTGACATTTCCTTTTTTAAGTACAACGATAGGAAGAATAACAGACAACAATATTATCTGTAATAATAAATACATATATTGATGAGGAATAGATATCTCATTCACAACGTTAGGTTAGCCACTCATCATTAGCAATTAAATATATTCACATCTCCGAATTTTAACAGTGCAATGTGAAACTTTTTCTAATATTGATTTTTATTGAAATAATTAGAAGAAAATAGTCTTTTCAAAAAACAAATTGATTTATATTAACATAATTCTGTCATGTTGCATCTGTATAATATACTTTTATTTCAATTAGATGAGGTACATGTATCGAATACCATATTGTGGGTGTGGCGTATTTTACTCCTTTTATATTCAAAGTCGTATCCCCATTCACACCCACACCCTGAGGGTGGTCATACCCTATTAATTACTCATCCTCACCCATCCCTCACACCCGGTCGTCTTGAGAGTGAGCATGTTTTTCGATTTTTTACTCACATCCACTCCCACCGACATTCACATCTGCACTCCTATCCTGGAAGATCTAACATGAACATGAGAATTTTATTCTAATTTAGTTTATTTATTTAATGGTATGCAATCGGACAAAGGCCACAAGATTTGAGGAAAGATAATTTTGATAATTAATTCTTGTGGACACAATGATTTGAGCACATCGACATTTAAGTGATAGCTTTCGAGTGGAACGCAGAAGTTCTTTGACTGCTGGTTGTGATGCTAGATCTTGCGGTAAGTTGCCTCTACTATCAATGGAATCAGCATGGGCTCCTTGAGCAAGAAACAGTTCAATAATCGGCTTGGCAATATCAATATTGGAGCATGTTGCAATCGCATGCAATGGCCGACCGAAAGGCCAATTGTTATGGATTCCATTGACATTTGCACCGCATTGAATCATGAACTGAATAACTGACAGGTTTGAGACACTAAACGAGACAAATTAGATGTGAACGTTCCATTTAGAAGGCGGGTGCTTTTGTTAGCGTTAATTTTCAAATAAATGAACAATTTTTTTCGTTTGCAAATTTTAGAAAGCGACATACTTGTAGAGAGGTAGTTTATGAACGGAAGAGTTATTTGCATAGGATTGGATGTAGTGGATTAGAAGACTGCGCCCCATCATATCATATCGCATTGCTCGTCGTGCAATAGCAAAAAGTGAATGTCGCTCATGGTTTTTGGTTCCCACCGCTTGAATCATCTGTAAAATCAAGAAAAGGTATCCTGTTTCAATAGTCTTCAGATGTGTAGAGACTTACGTAAACGATTGTTGCTAGCAAATCGAAAATGTGCCATAAGCAATAGTCTTCGTCCTCATCGAATAACCAAGTCGCAGTCATTTCAATGGAATCGATTGGTACTATATTAGTTTCGTTCCATGCTCTGCTTAAATCTGTGATGAGTTCGTTAAAATGATTATCATGCCATTCTAACGAAAGGCCATGATTAATACGACGTTGCAGAGTCAGCTGATGGGCATGCATACTTAATTGAAGAGAGCGATGGAATGACTGGTTACGCCGGTAGATATTGCATTGTTGCTCGATCAATTTCAACAAAGGATCAATGTCACCGAGTCGAAGTAAAATTCGTTCACTAACAAGTAAGGCATGCATACGCAATGCGTTCTCATCATCTCGTATGGCTACTAATTCATCGAATGTCTGACACTCCCGACGACATTCGTAAGCTTTGTGGAGAATAACGGCTTCTCCTGATTTTTCCTCGCTCAAACCTTGGACGAAGAAACTGAATGCCTTCTGTCGGTTTTCCACGTCGCCCGCGATGGTATAATGACAGCCAAGTAGCATCAACTCATCCAAAGCTTCTTGCAATGGTAATCGTTCGAAAAGCAAATCAACGAGTGGGCTCAAATTGTGATGAGCCACCAACATCAATGGGGAGAATCCATCCCTATTTCTTCCAATTTCTCCATGGCAAATGAGAGTTTTAGCAATTTCCATATATTGTGCGCTAATGGCGCAATCAAGCGCTGTTCGACCACGATGATCTTCCTGTCGAACATCACATCGAGTGGCCAAATAATTCATTAGCGCTTCGTTTCCTCGTTCAAAAGCAATGAAGAAGGCTTTACAGTTAGAAGCACTTGCGCGACCACATTCGACGAGTTTCTGAACGAGATTCAGATCGCCTCTCTCACATGCGATAGCCAGTGGTGACCGATGATCTCGCCGATCAGCGTAATCGACGATATTCGAAGGAAGATATCCGCAGTATATTTTGCGCAGTATCACTTCAATACAGTCCGAATGTTGAAGATTGACCGCTTGCAGAAGAATATCTTCTCCACCAATGTATTTCGAGCGGTAGAAATTGCTTGACCAGTATTTTTCTTTGCTGTTGTATAGATTGATTGGCGGAAGAAGACCGTTGAGATGATCAGCATTATTTTGATGGATAGCTTGATGGATTTCATCCCATTGGGCTTGAATATCCCATTTCATCTGCCACTCTTCATCAAATTCCTCACACAACTGTGTTTCGATCTCGTCATAAAAATCAATCCATTGACTTTTTCTTGATAATCGACTTCGTTCTCCTTAAAGGAATGAGAAATGCACTGTGTTTTGATAGTTGGTAGAGTTATCATACCTGAATGTAAATGTGATCGACATAATGA